GGAGTGTGATTCCAGATGCTTGGGTGAATTCCGTAATCACCGCAGGATATTCTCTGGAGTTCGAAGATATTTCCCCTCCACCAAGATTCATCAGAACAAGACTCCCTGTCGACAGACAAAAAAGAGAAGTCTTGACCCATTATGTTGCCAATCTTTTTCTGGAAAGGGTCATTGTCCCGGTTCCTGTGAAAGAAAGGTTCCAAGGGTTCTATTCTCCCCTGTTCTTAGTAAAGAAACCAGGAGGAAAGTGGAGACCTATTCTAGACCTACACCAGCTCAACATCTTCTTAAGGATAAGAAAGTTTCGTATGGAATCCATCCGTTCCATCATTCCAGTGATTCACCACAGAGACTGGTTAATCTCAATAGACCTAAAAGATGCCTACTTCCATGTTCCGGTCACAGAAAGACATCAGAAGTTTCTTCGATGCTGTGTAAAAGGGGAGCACTTCCAGTTTCAGGCTCTTCCCTTTGGGATAAGTACGGCCCCGAGAACCTTCTCAAAGATACTGGTCACAGTAATTGCTTTCCTGAGGAAGATGGATGTAGCAATTTACCACTACCTCGACGACATTCTGGTAGTGGCCTCAGACTTCGAGATGTTACTCCAACACAGACATCTAGTACTCGAGACTCTCTCTCGGTTTGGGTGGCTAATCAACCACGAGAAGAGTCATTTAAAACCTTCAAGGGAGCTGGTGTTCTTAGGAGCATGCTTCAATACCCTCAATGCGATGGTATCTCTCGCCCAAGAAAGAAAATTGAAGCTGCAGGATCGGATGCAGGTTTTTCTTCAGAAGACTTCTGCTTCCGCAAGGGAGTTTATGAAACTCCTGGGTACCCTGACCTCTACTATAGACCTGGTCAGATGGGCGCATTGGAATCTTCGTCCTCTTCAGCAGCATCTCCTGAAAAACTTCAAATCCAGCTCAGACGACTGGGAGAAGCAGATCCACATTCCTCTCAGCCTGAAAAGGAAGCTTCATTGGTGGATGAAAGAAGAAAACATCTCCAGAGGTTTTCCTTTGAAGGAGGTCGACTGGGTAGTCATCACGACAGATGCCAGTCAGTTCGGTTGGGGTGCTCATCTGGGAAATTCCTTTGTCCAAGCAGAATGGACTCAGAATGCTCAGCACCTGCCTTCAAATATAAGGGAATTGAGAGCAACGTTTCTGGCTCTTCTTCATTTTCGGCATCTGATCAAAAGAGCCTGGGTGAAGTTGAGAGTGGACAACAGAGCGGCTGCCGCCTATATCAACCATCAAGGAGGCACCAGGAGTGTTTCACTGATGAAAGAAGTATCAGCAATCATGACCTGGGCACAAATACATGTGGAAGGTCTACGTGCGGTCTATCTTCCAGGAAAGGAGAATGTCTTGGCGGACTTCCTCAGCAGACACCTGGTAGAAGCCACGGAATGGCACCTGTCAAGGACGGTGTTTCAGCAATTGGTCCAGAGGTGGGGTCTTCCCCAAGTGGATCTCATGGCTACAGCTCAGAACACTCAAGTTCCTTGTTTTGTTTCAAGGAGATTCCATCCGAGGGCGCTGGATCAAGATGCTCTTTCAATCAAATGGCACTTTCATCTGGTATATGTCTTTCCCCCAGTTCCTCTCATTCAAGCTGTTCTGAGGAAGATTTCCAGAGAACGTTGCAGGGTGATTGCAGTGATCCCCTTCTGGCCAAGACGCCCTTGGTTTCCTCTTCTGAGGAGGTTGGCATTGGAGGATCCTTGGGAGATTCCAGTCTCGGAGAATCTGCTGACACAAGGCCCAGTGGTTCATCCAGAACCTTACAAGCTCAGGCTTCATGCTTGGCTTCTGAAAGGCAATCCCTGAAGAAACAGGGCTTATCGGAACAGGTGGTGGCTACCCTTTTATGTTCCAGGAAGATCTCCACTTCATCTACTTACCACAGAATATGGGAAGCCTTTGCGGTCTGGTTAAATTCTTCTATACAGAACATGGGTACTCCTACAGTCTCTCAAGTTTTAGGTTTTCTACAAGCGGGCCTGGAGAAGGGTCTTAGTCTTAACACCCTGAAAGTTCACTGTTCAGCTATCTCGGCTCTCTCTGGCACTCGATGGGCACTTCATCCTATGGTGGTTCGTTTTTTCAAGGCCGTTGTACGGATTAGACCTCCTATCAGACAACTGGCGTCTCCTTGGAATTTGCCTCTGGTACTGCAGGCCCTAACGGAGTCTCCCTTCGAACCTATTGGGAGCATACATTTGCAGATCCTTTCTCAGAAGACTCTATTATTACTGGCTCTAGTCTCTGCCAGAAGAATGTCTGACATCAGAGCTTTATCAGCCGAGGAACCTTACACTTCATTCTTTGATGATAGGGTCGTTCTCCGACCGAGGCCTGAATTTCTTCCCAAGGTTGTTACATCTTTCCATCTCAATCAGGAAATTATCTTGCTTGCCTATTTTCAGCATCCTTCTACCCCTGAGGAATCAAGGTGTCATATGCTGGATCTTCGTAGATGTTTACTGATGTATATAGAACGCTCTGCTGCTTGGAGGAAATCCTCTCAATTATTCATTATACCTTGGGGTTCTCGCAAAGGTGAAGCCGCCTCAGTCTCCACTCTTCGTTCCTGGACGGTTTCGGCTATCTCCAAGGCTTATGGAGCGTGTGGTGTTCCTGTTCCGAAAAACATCAGGGCTCATTCCACAAGATCCATCGCTACTTCATGGGCTGCAGAGTCAGGAGTTCCTGCAGAGAGCATCTGTAAGGCTGCCAATTGGTCTTCTCTAAAGACCTTTGTAAATCACTACAAAGTGGATATTGCTTCCCGCTCGGATTCGGAGTTTGGCCTGTCGGTCCTGAACTCCTTTAATCCTCATAGATGATCTCTATATTAAACTATTTTTGTAGCATGCATTTCCCTCCCTGTGTTGTTATTGCTTGGGGAATCCCATATGTTAAATGCTGCCATGATTAGCCAGGAATAGGGAAAATTTATTCATACTTACCGTAATTTTCTTTTCCTGGCTATTATTCATGGCAGCATTTGGTTTCCCACCCTCTATTGGATATGCTTCTTGTTACTTGACTGAGGTGTGATGGCTGATGGGGTTCCTATTATACAAGGGGAAGGTATGCTTAATTGTTTAATTGATTGTGTTTCCTGTCCTGAGGGTTAGAGGGAGGAGCTAAACCCATATGTTAAATGCTGCCATGAATAATAGCCAGGAAAAGAAAATTACGGTAAGTATGAATAAATTTTCCCTATTCATCCTTGAAGCAACCTGAATAAAGGTACAAAATAAAATGCAGAACAAAAACTTGTTTGGAGCCTAGATTCCACAAATATTTGTCAGGTCCTGCTGCAGTAACAATAGTCTAATGGGGCCTCTTCAAGAAATGCACACAAGTTGGAAAACAGAACAACAGTAAATGGCAGCCTGCAATACCTCCTAGGATATAACAATAAAACAAACAACCTCCTGACACCTTTACACACTATACATTGTGCCATCGAGGAAGCAGAAAGACGTAAACAAGAATTGTACTTTAAGTTATTCTACCAAAAATGTGATCTGGACTTTATAAAGTCCTATACTAGCGAAAATAATTATAATAAATCATGTGTTTATTGATCATGTTGGTCATTTACCCCCTTTTCTGGAAAAAAATGTAGACCTCTAGTGGGGAAACTGAGCCAGTGTATTAAATCGATACATAAAACATAGACTTAAATAGTCACCAGAACAACTACAGCTTAATGTAGTTATTCTGGTGAGTATAATAATAATGTGCAGGCATTTTCATGCAAACATTAAATTGACCCTAGGGACACCAGCAAGTGGCCACTCCTCAGATGGCAACTGGAGGTGCTTCCTGGCTCAGTGCTGCACAGTACACAGCACTGCTGTTCATCGACTCCACGCTCTGCATGGGGTGAATTTTTCGCAGAGATGCATTAATTCAATGCATCTCTATGAGGAGGTGCTGATTGGCCTAAATGGTGTTTGGCCCCGCCCCATGCCGATTTCAGCGAGCATTGGATTGGCTAAAAATCTGCAATTCTGATGTCACCAAGGGGGTGGAGCTAGCGCTGGCGAACCTAGAATTAAGGTGAGTTATTAACTTTTTAAGTGTGTGTGGGGGGTGGTGGGAAGAAGAGGGGGAGGTGCAAACACCTAAAGGGTGGGTTAAACACTATAGGGTCAGAATTACATGTTTGTGTTGCTGACCCTATAGTGTTCCTTTAACACATAGAATTAGATGAAGTCTGATCTTCCACTCAATTAAGTGACAAACTAGGATTCAGGCTCTTATAAACAGTGTCACTTATAAAGAGAAGCAAAAATAATTAGGAAGTAGAGGGAATGTGATGTGCTAGTGTTACCTGTTACATTTGTGCAAATCAGCACCATTTGCCTAAATGTAATTCTCTCTGCACAAAGTGTATAGGTGTGGGTACAAAGGTTGTGGATTATTTGGGCAGTTATCTACCCATAGTGCATATGTGTAGGTACAGAACTCAAGGTTTATATGTCCAGCTATCTACACACGGAGTATACATGAGTGATTACAAGGCAGTAGGTTATACGGGCAACTATTTGTACACAGTGTGTATAGCCAAGTGTATGGAGACAGTTGGTTATAGAGGCTCCTATATGCATACTGTATACAGAGATATATATTTGTTGCGGACTGCAGCCTTTAACTCCATAGCTGGCTGTGTGACACATTTTTCTATATTAATCTCAGACAGGAGAGGGTATAGAAACCCTCAAATATTCTAAATTAAAAGGGCTTCGTTCAATAAAGGGTTAATCAAGCACAAACTCTACTTTATTGATTTAATTGAGAGGGAGAGAGAGAGAGAGAGAGAGAGAGAGAGAAAGAAAGAGAGGTCGGTAGACACTGAGTAAATGAATGACTACTTCTGTAGCCTCTAGCTACTACAGATGCCAAAAGCATGCCAAAGGACCACCAGGAAGCATCGGAACTCGTGGGACCAAGATTCAGGAGCAAACAGTTGCTAAACAGTTGGCCTCATTACCCATATACCCAGTATACCTCTGGCAATATAACTGCTACAGGGGGCTGTATATGTTATGATACTTGGAGTGACCCTTTAAAACTTTAACGTATACTAAATCAATTAAAAAAATATTTTTTTTCCATGACCTATTCCCTTAAAAAGTGAAATATCAAGTGGCATGACATGAAATAATGTTAATGTAAGACAGTCCATAAATAAATAGGGCAAAATATTTTTTTAAGACAATATATATAGTAGATCAGCAGGTCCAAGAACATTCACTGCTGCAAAAGAAGAAAAAAAAAATAAGTTACCAGCTACAAAAATCCTGACATACACAGGGAAAGTTAGTCCAATATGTTCAATAAAGACATGATTTTTTTTTTCCGACATTTGTTTTAATTACATTTTTATTTCTCTTAGGCAAAGATTAGATTCAGATCACATCTAAGGTCAGACTAGTTAAAATCAAATTAGAATGGTTAAAAAAAATTACTACAACTTTACTGTCAAGCGCTAATGAAACATCTCTTCAAAAAACAATGGTCATGATTCAATATTTTTGGATAAGCTTTTCAAATAACGCAATATTTTTGGATAAACCTTTGAAATAATTTAAAGGTTGTGAAAATATTTTAATTTTGTAATATTTTGAAGAAAAAAAAAAATTTGAAAAGCTGGTTCAACCATATTAAATTTAGGTCAATGGTCACAAACATATTCCACTAAAAAGGAGTTATATAAACAAAACATGCACACTATCTCTCAAGTTATGAGAAACATAGGATTCCTGTACAGACATTTTCAGTTATTCTCCTTATGGCAAAGTCACACACACAGTCATTCATTTAAGGAAAACAGATATCCACATAATTTGCTCCCTATATGAAGAACAGTCATAGTTATAACAATCAGAAACAGATACTACACAGTCACTACCCCACCCCAGAAACAAGCAAGGTTACTAATCTCCCTAAAAATCTAAATCACACTAATAGTCACTGCTGCCAAAAACAAGCACAGTCATGCACTGTCACCCTTGTAAACAGTCATACACACTCAGCCATCCCCTATAATAAATCATACACACTCAGCCATCCCCTATAATAAATCATACACACTCAGCAATCCCTTGTAAGAAGTCACACACACACACACTTATCCATTCCCTACATGAAGTCACACTAACACACTCAGCCATAACAAGCAAGAAAAAGTAAGAACTCTCACACACACTCAGCCATCCATGCAATGTAAGAAGTCTCTAACGCTCAGCCATCCCCAGTAGGTAGTCCCTCACTCTCAGCCATCCCCAGTAGGTAGTCTCTCACTCTCAGCCATCCCCAGTAGGTAGTCTCTCACTCTCAGCCATCCCCAGTAGGTAGTCTCTCACTCTCAGCCATCCTCAGTAGGTAGTCTCTCACTCTCAGCCATCCCCAGTAGGTAGTCTCTCACTCTCAGCCATCCTCAGTAGGTAGTCTCTCACTCCCAGCTATCCTCAGTAGGTAGTCCCTCACTCTCAGCCATCCCCTGTAGATAGTCTCTCACTCTCAGCCATCCCCAGTAGGTAGTCCCTCACTCTCAGCCATCCCCTGTAGATAGTCTCACTCTCAGCCATCCCCAGTAGGTAGTCCCTCACTCTCAGCCATCCCCAGTAGATAGTCTCTCACTCTCAGCCATCCCCAGTAGGTAGTCCCTCACTCTCAGCCATCCCCAGTAGTCCCATGCCAGGTCTCCACATTCCCGGAGCACTCTGTAGTGACAGCCGCCGCCCCTATGGCCGCCAGGAGGAAGGCGCTCGCGAGTCTCCATCCCTCCGGCCACACGCCGCCCAGCACCCACGGGGAGGAGCAGGGAGCACGGGGGTCTTACCGGTCAGTGCAGACAGGAACCCGTTAACCCGACTCCTGCTGGGCTAAGCGGATCCAAAGCCGCCATGTTCCTTCTTCTAAGAGCACAGTCAGTGTTGTTTATCCCACAAATCTCCGCCTTCTCCGCCCCACAACTCATTACCGTCCTCCTCCTCATGGAGACCCTCCTCATTCTTTTAGCCGAGCTCGTCCTTGTTTCTCCACGAGGTGAAAACCCGCCTCCTCCACCACCGCTTTGAGTGAACCCTACTTCTCGTAGTAGACCATCCTCCTCCTCCAACACATGGGGACCACCCTACTCATCCTTTATCAAATGGGGATCACCCACTCATCCTTTATCAAATGGGGACCACCCCACTCATCCACCTCCATCAATTGGAGAACACCTTCTAGCTGATGAAGATCAGATCCTATCTCCTCCTCAACTCTGGAAATTAACCCTTGTCCACTTTAGGGAAGACCACTTCCTCTTTTACTTCATGGAGATCATCACCTCAACCTCATGGACCTACTACACTACCACCACCACCACCTCCTCTACTTCATGGAGATCATCACCTCAACCTCATGGACCTACTACACTACCACCACCACCTCCTCTACTTCATGAAGTCCATTGCCTCCTTGTACCTAACCCTCCTGAACTCTACTTCAAAGAGACCATGTATCTCTCCATATTATGAAGACCACTACCACCACTACCTTGTCTGCTTCATGGACTCCATTCCTTCACCCCATACCACCTTCTCATCTACTTCATGGAGACCACCACTTCCTCTTCCATCACATTATAGAGACTGGTTAGCTAGACCAATTCACACCTCTCTGGTAGCATTCACTTACCATGGTCAGCTCTGACTGGGAGAAGTCCTCTTCATTTAAAGATTGTACAAACATGGTGCATAGATACACATAGGTATCTGTTAGGTAGTTAGTATGCATTAACATTTACAGAGCTTTACCATATACCTCAGTGTTGTACAAAAGCTAACAATGTCATTCTCTACTGATAATTGTCACGAATTTCACATATAAGGCCAAATCAGTCAAACTGAAACATAACTGCCTTGAATATTTCCTAAATGTAATTCTGACAATTCCCACTTCAGTGAAAAACCCTGACAAATATACATACATGTAAAAGTGGAAAAACAGTTTAAGTAACATGAACAAAAAAGTGCCAAATGTTATTTAGATTCTTAATTCATTAGATACTCCCCTATGAAGTCTAAAACATTAATGAAGAAGAAGAAAAAAAACTAGCCTTGAATTAAAGCTTGGCAATGAAAAATACTGTTTTCCCAATAAATATGATGTTAAAAAATTCAATACGCTAATATGATGCATTAGCATCACTGGTCTAATACAGCCACTCACAATACTATATACAGTATTTTCTGGCGTATAAGATGACTTTTTAACCCTGGAAAATCTTCTCCAAAGTCGGGGGTCATCTTATACGTTGGGTATAGGGTCTATATAGCTGCCGGGGGCGCCCTGCGCCCCCATCACCGGCCCTTCTATAGAGAGCGCTCAGACGGCTGCCGCACTGCCTCTCTTCTCACCTCCCCTTCCCTGTGCAGAGTGGGTGTCCGAGCTCCTCTTCGTCCTGTCAGTCCGGTCGGGTACCGCTCAGTACAGGAGATTCAGTTACCTGTTCCCGGCCGGACTGAAAGGAAGTGCACACTGAGTGCTCACTTCCTTTCAGTCGGGCCGGGAACAGGTAACTGAATCTCCTGTACCGCGCGGGAGGTGAGAAGAACGTAGGGAGGATTGGGGGGGGAGGGGGAGTAAAAAGAATATATCGCAATTAGCCTCCTGTGTGCCAAACCAGCAGGCATGGATTATATGCCCAAACAGCCTGGCACATACCTGGGCTTTAAGTGCTATTTCAGATTATCATTATTTAATGTCTTGCTGTGTAGCTCTGTCTGCTCACTGTACATCATGGCTAATTTTTATTTGGTGTGCATTGGAAGAGGGGTAGTCTTATACGGCGAGTATATCCCAAACTCTATATTTTAACTGGAAAAGTTGGGGGTCGTCTTATACGCCGGAAAATACGGTAATTATTGCCCTTGTTGACATAGTGCTTCCAGGTTCTGTAACTGCACAGTGTATGTGAATCATCAGGGACTAGACACTTGTAACAGGTGTTACAAAAGCATCGAAGTCTGTTGGGAGCAAGAAATACCAAGGCTTCATAAACATGATGCATTTCTCAAATGTGGTGTGTCCTAATGATCTAATTTCACTGTAATTGTTTTTTGCCCTTATGTGAACTCAACAGCCAATACAATTTTAGCCTAAGCACAGCTTACATAGAAACATAACCATAAGAGTATTCTCTCCCAATAATACCCTACATATTTCTCTGTGACCCTTGGAATGATCTAAACTCCCAAACTCAAATATTCATACCTCCACAACCACCTTAAGTGCACATATGTCCTCATATGTGAACATCACTCTGCTGCTCTCATGATATCACAGCCCCTTCTCTCATGTCTACCCTTATGTTGCCACCACAGTTCACTTTCCTGCCACTATTGTCCCATTCCAGGTTCTCCTCTCTTCCAATCCTTCCCATTTTTTTGTCTATCTTCTGGTCTGGTCTTTAGGGCTCAGAAGCTCTCAGGCCTCTCAACAGTCCCGATTTTGGTGGATAGTATTTATTTTAGGGTCCTGTCCTGACTTTCTCATTGGCGTGCTGCTTTTGGGGACAGCAGGGAATTGTCCCTTGAAAGTATAGCGTGAGCGCATCATAGACCCACTTGCTCAATGTGTGATACACTAGCACTATGCAGAGAGCATCATAATAGCGCTCCTTGCAAGGTGCTGGCCCTAATGGGTTGACCTTTGTGATTTGAAAGCAGTTTGAGCTGTGCCAGAGATGCAATTCACACCACTGTCCCACCTCCTTTTACCTCAGGCATTCCTCTTTATGATACACTGTTGTTGGGTGTATGAGTTGGGACTCTAGCAGCTAAACCTACTACTTTGCCATAGGCTTGCTTGCTTTTATTGCACTCCCACCATTTTGTATTCATATACTGTTATGGTGCAAGGACGATAGGCAGAGCTGCTGAAGTTAATCTTACCCGCAATTCATTGGCCGAGAGTATTGGCTGACCACTCTTAGTCAATGTATGCAATTATTTGCATAGGAATAAACACACAATTGACATAAGGTAGTTCCTGACTGGCCAATGACGTCCCAATGAGGCAGACACAGACTCCAGATACCATGGCCACTTCTAATCCCTAAAGTGGTCATGGTGCTTGGTGTGGACCTTTAATGCGCCAAAAATGTTAAAATATTTTAAGAAAACAGGATACTTTGAAAATGTGAAAGTGCATTGCACCTTAAGCAAAACTGTAAGTTATGGTGGCCACTGACAAGCATACCTTTATCAAATCAAGGTATAAGCAAAAAACAACAACATTGTTTGTGCTGGCCCACTATTAGAGCCTTTGTATGGAGTTAATTAAGAGTTTTTAGGTGACATTCCTCAGCCAGTGTATTCAGGCCAAATTTGGACAATACTGCTATTGCCGAGCTGTAAGGTGAATTTTCATTTGGCTATATCTGCGAAGAAGGGGGTAAAACAGCAGGTCCGCGTGTCTGTTCCTACTCATTTCCAACAGGTCTCAATATTAAAGAATGAAAAAATACAGTGAAACAATCACTGTATCCCTGACAGTCACTCAGCTTGTCTTTGGGCGCCCTCTTTTGGTTAAATTTGTTCAGCATGTGTTATTTTTTATACTTAGTAATTGATCGCAAACAGTATAATCATTAAAAAAAAAAAGCATTTCACTAATTTCGCCTGCATGTTTTATATATATATATTAAACCAACTTCAATCTTCAATGCTTGTTTTCACTAACCTATCACAGCTCTTTATTAACTTTCACTGTCTTCGTGGCAGTTTGAACACTCAACTAACCATTTACTTTACAGTTTGTTTCCTTACAACCTCTACCAAAACTTATTTGTTCCTAGGTAATCATATTAAATATTCTAAACTGTTAAGAAGCCATTTTTGTAAATCACTGTTATGGCAGAATTCAGTGTTTAAAGGGATACATTAGTTTTAGTAATAACAATATAGCACCCTCTTCCTCCTCGACATATAAAGGGCTAAATAACCCTTTATTTACGTACCCGATCCCATTGCTGATGTCATCCAACGGGAAGGGGCTAATGCGCATGCACCGCAAGCACATTAGGCCCTCTCCATAGGAAAGCATTGTATCAGTGCTTTGCTATAGGGATTCTACGGACACTGAATGCTCTCATGCAGAGCGTGAGGACGTCCAGCATCAGGTGACCAAAAGTAGTCTGGTAGACAGCCACTTAGTGATGCAATGTAAACATTGAAGTTTTCTCTAGGATTAAGGGCAATAGGGGCACTGTACCCAGACCACTTCAATTAGAATAGGTGTGGGTGCCTTTAGTCTCTTAGTAAAAAATAAAGTAAAAAACATCTCTCTTTTTCTCTATAATCCGATTTCAGTTCAATTGTGTTTTTATTGTTTTTTTAATTCTTTATTTTTTCATGCATGTAAGATAACATAGGTAATAAACGACACTACACCATTGATCAAGCATGGTTACAAGAATTGTTGTGGAAGACAATAGTATCGTGATGGAATTGCACTTTTTATATATGTAACGTGTGCTTCAAAACGCTGGCACTAACATAGGAAACAATTCAAGTAAAACAAAGTGATGAAAGTACTAAACGTATGGTCGTAAATCAACCCCTCGGAAAGGAATGTGGTATTATTACTCTAATAGATTCCATGGGGTATCTCTGCTTTTGCGCTTATCCCCAGCGGGGACGTGCTGTGTAGCCGTTGTGTCAGGGCACTAAGTGGCAATGGGGCTCCTCATATTTTAAATTAAGTGAGTGACCGGGTTGGAGGATATGGTAATGCCTGTAAGCCATTGAGTAGCTAAACTGTTGAGTTATACGCTCCATGTCCCTGGAGCAGGGAGGGGGTGGGGTGGCAGGGGGTGTAGAGTAAGGCTTGTAAAATGCCTTGTTCTGTTAACTTTTTGTACTTGTTGCATCTAGCATTGACAATTAGTTGGCTAAATTTAACATAATGCACATCACAGTATCAACTAGAGAGATGAAAGAAAATGAAGTGAAAATAATAATGATGATAATAATAGAAAAAAGAAAAAAAGGAAAGGAATACTTAGCAGGTATTTTATATATTGTGGTATGAATGGTGTATGTCACTGGATGGGTCTGTCTCCTTTTGAGGGTCATTGGCTGCGTGCTTCCTTCAGCCTTTATGTACTGCCATGCAAGGAGTAAAGGTGGTGATTCGGGGTACATCCCTGGCTAGGCTTAGCCATGGCCGCAGTGGACGGGATGAGGCCCAGCGCCTGCAGGAAGGCAGTGGATTCCATCGTGGAGGTGAGTTGATGGAATTGGCCATTATTGAGGACCTTCAGTGTGCGGGAGGGACCCCATCTATAGGGAATATGATCGTAGATTTTTTGTAACTAGGGCAAGGGTTCTCCTCCAGCCCAGGCTGGATTGGCAGAGACTCTGCAGGAAATGGAGTTGCATCTCCTTAAAGGTGCCTCTTAATGCTTTTAGCACTGCTGTTTTATTCCTGAATAGGGGAAAGCAGAGTAAAACTTTGCGTGGAGCCTCAGCTGGAGCCCTAGCCGATTTTGGCAGACAGATGCAGTGGTTGAATTGCATGCCTTCGGCTTGACGTTGTGGTAGGAGGGTGGCCAACAGTAACCGTGATAAAGTGTCGGAGTTCGTGCCCCTCTATAGTTTTGGCAATGCCTTATATCTTCTAAGTTGTTGCACCATCGAGCATCGTCCAGGTCATCGATTCTGGCCTGCAACTGTTTCATGCTTTCCACTGTATCTGCTTGTTTATGGGTAATGGAGGAGATATCATCCTCCATTGCCTGGACTCTAGCTGTAACCGCCGTGATTTCTTCCCTTATGACCCACAGGTTTGCGTTAGAGTGTCCTGATATTCAGTAGAAGGGCCTTAAAGATGCCCTTATTAACAGGGGCTGACAAGTCTTCCTCTGGCAAGAGTGTCAAGGCCTCTCATGTTGGAGATGTCATCCGGCATGTCCAGTACCTCAGAGGAGGACGACGAAAGGGCGAGGACCGGTCGTGCCGCAATCTTGGGTCTAGGCCGTGATTGCAGCAGGTTTCCGATGTTGTGGGTGCTTTCTCCTGCGAAAGCCTTAAGCTTCTTCACTCTTTTCCCCATAGTGGCTCAGTGTCGGATGCTGTTTTTGGGGGAAAATAGTGTGTGGGTGGGTAATATTTGTGGTGTAATTCCAAAAATCTGCAAGAGCACAGCCGACATGCGTCTGCTCTCTTCAAGTGCCAAACTCCGCCCCCCACCTCAATTGTATTTTAACTTTCAAGGTCTAACTAAAATAAGCCAAATGGATTGGCAGAACATTTCAGTAGCAGATTGAATAACTGTGTGAGCATAATACAAATATTTCATCGTAGATTAAAAGTGGAAATGTCATGTCCCAGGACTTTTAATATGTTGTTTACTTATCACTTATATTTGACAAATGTGTTTGTGAGGTCCAAGAAAAAAAAAAAATGTAGGTATTAGCACCTTTCTCATGGAGAGCCCCTTTCTTGGTTTCCTGTCAAACATTATTATATACTGTGCCCTTTTCATTCATTAAACATAGGTAAATGTGGAATAACAGAATCAATGTATCTGTGCTACTCCTTCAATGCATGGCCTGGCTATGCTTACAAAATGCATTTAAAACAACTGATTTAACATATTATAGGTGAATTTCAATGTTATTTCTAGAATAGTGACAGTCCACATTTAATAATGTGTCTCACATTGCCCAGTTAGACGATTGTATCTTGAGTATATTGAACATTTAAAAAAATAAATAAAGGACTCCAACTAGGTTACCTAAATGGTCGTGTTCCAGGAACCCCTAATGTAGGGGAGCCCTGCAAATGAATCCCTGCATATAAATATATACCTTATTTTGTCTATTCACATATTAACTATGTGGATAGACAAATAGTAAGCAGTGGGTATGATTAAAAAGAAACCCATCAGAGTTCCAAAAGAATATAGAAAGCCGATCCATCAACCATCCCAGCTCAAACAGTGGGATACTGCTAGCATCTATAGGGCAGCTATATATCTCTCCAGGAGTGATAGGTGTCCGACACAATTGGTAATGATAACTGCTATATTGCTATACTATTTGAATGACATAGTTCAGAAGGAAGAAAATATCTCATTATATTGGGGACCACTAGCAAATAGCACAGCGAAAACCGCTATGCTATCTACAAGATAAAGCAAGTTTAACAAATAAATACATCTGAGTTCAATTATCAAGATAAGTATAGTGCAAAAAAAAAAAAAAAAGCGAAAACTAACGAAATCAGAAACTGGTAATATATCCCCAATTCATTAATTTTCCCAGAAAGATAGAAAATCCGCCATACGATTGAGAAATTATTATTATTTTTTTTATATATATTTTTTGGTTACATTATCAGATAGTAGATATATTGTAAGCAACATCGGAATAATAACGTTACAGCTAAACGGACAACTGTCTGTAAGAATAATTGCAATCTCTTACCAGTACCTGAGAAATACTGCTGTGTTTTTGAATTGCATTATACATATGCACCGCACTTGTGGTCAAGCTATTTTTATCAGTTGGGAGCTACTCATCTACTACTTGACCTCTTATCACGATTTTTTTTTTATGACACTTGGTTTAGGGAGGGTTTGTCTTTTTGTGTATAATTAGTTGTGAATGTACTCTGCTCTTACCACAGCCAGACTACTAGGTACAGGGGGAGCGGGTTACTGTTAAGTGCCCTTGAAGACACATGGGATGGTCTATTATAAATAGAGCATGACATTGTAATATTAAGCAATGACCTTTTAACAATTTATGTGTTATAGCAGATCTAATAAAGTTTTTTAGTTTTCCTTCTGTATTCGCTTTAAACTATCAGACATAGTATTGACTGTATCTGACAGACCTATAATTTACCATATCTGAGGGATAATATTTATATCACTACTGTTTATTTCCCTTTTGGTATCCACTTCAGTCTTTTTCAGTTTTAATTTCAGACGTGTTCCCTAATTATTGGCTCGCTATTTTTTCTTTTCTTATGATTGAGAAAAGATATGAAAAGTGTGTAGAGGAATAGTATGCGACTATATATACACACCAGTGGTTCCCAAACCAGTCCTCATGGTCCACAAACAATCCAGGATTTATGTATTTCCTCATTTTATTCCAATGGAGATGCTGACAAAACCTGGACTCTATCAAAATGATAATACTGCAGATCTGTAGACCTAAGAATGATTAAACCGAGGTCCTTACATACCACTAATTCACTATGTCGTAAGTTCTGCCTACAGCTAAATCATAGTGAAAACACCTATCAAAATGTGATCATTAAAAAATTTTTTTTACAAATCACCCGATGCGTTTTTTGGGGAATCAACATGGGCCTTTATCTGAGGCTAAACAAGACTAAGGAAGACCTTGTGGTTAAATAGAAAAAAAACAAAAAACAAAAACATTTGATAAACCCCCACCTCCTAGTAAAGTGCCAACCTTGCCCAAGCTGGTTAGAGGACAGAGAGGGAATTACTTGGGGCAACTACAACCAAAACAGGCACACGCTTAGTCTGGTTTACTGTTTCTATATGTAATCTAAGTCATGAAGCAAGAAAAAAGGATCTTGCCTCAAGGAGGTTAGATAATACATCACTACTCTCCCATCCTATGGCAGAAGATAGCAACATAAGCCAATTAATATCTTGTTGGTTTGTAGAGACTCACCAGATGTGTAACTATGGTATTCTAGGTTGAGCATTCAATAACTGCTTACAGTGAAGTGAAGTGCAAGTTCCTATCTAGCATAAACCCCATTTTGTGGCAAAACATGCAAGTGGCTGTAATCTCTATCCTGCATTAACGGAACACTCCATTAAAAGTTAAAAGGGACTTGAGCAGTACTTGTGCTCTATATGTGGTGGCCACTTTGTAACTTAATTTAGTTACACAATATATTGGTAATTTCTACATTGGAAAACATAGAAATTTATGTAATAGTATAATAAAAATAATTTAATCGCCAGCACAAATGTGATTATTACAGCTATTATTATATACTTTTGTCATGGCTCCTGTTAATGATGTAGATATATTCTAGGACCTACGGTTGCTCATTACACCATAGGTTCTTGACTTATAACTATGGGTCATATACATATGTGTTATTGCGTAAGTAGAACTATCCACATTGCACCAATCCTCTGTTGTGACAGTAATAATGAGCATCTGAAACATATACATGCTGCAAATTTAATAGTCAGTAGGGAACGTCCGTAATAAATCAGAAAAATGACACTTTTTAAACCATCAATTTGTATCCTGATAATCTAAGTGACAGTCAAACATTAAATTCTAATATAAATCCCATGCATAGGTCAGGAAATACTTGATCAATCACCATACCAAAAAAATTAAGAAAATCTTTGCCCATCAGTCATGTATTACCCACCTGGAAGGCAGGCAGTGAGAAATTTCAGTTTAAATCAAAAGACTTAAAAAGGCTGCTGAGTTAGACAACTGTACAACTTGTATTGGCTCTTGATATTGTTTAGTGTTATATTTATTTTATTTACATGGTTTCCTTACAATGGCTCTCCATTTTTTATTTAATCAGCTCAGCTATGGCATTTCTGTAAAGCAGCCTAACGTGCGTGGATGGTAATTTGACTAATGACTAATGAGGTCTACACACAATCCACTGAAGTTTCCAATGGTATTCTACAAGAAAAGTTTCAGAGAGCTTAGAAAGTTCATTCGAAGTAACACCTAAAGATTCGATTTCTTACATTTTATGCTTTTTCTTCCATATTAAGAATCCTGGATAATCTGGAAAATATTTTTTAGGGAATACGCTAAACTAAAATGTCTATAGATGTGTATGGAATGCTGTATAGTAACTGAAATTTGTGTTATTTACAACTTGGGAAATACATACTGTTAAGCAACACTCAAATTAATTCAATGAATTATAAATTAGAATACTACACAGTAAAGGAGAACAAAATGTTCCTATATATTTAGATTTTATTTAAAAAAAAAAAAACCCAGAAAAAAAACCAAACAAAAACACATGGAAAGTCATACCATCTACAAGACAAAAAAATAAACACTGAATTCCGTTGGACTGTTTTATGGTTTTTATTGGTGGGTTCCCATTTTCATCCATCATAGCTCTTTGCAGTCTTCATCACAAAACTGATTTTTAAAGAAAATCGTACAGGTACCTTATAATGTCAAAATTCACAGTTCTGGAATGAAAGAATAATATTTATTTAATATCTTTATTTTTGTATTTTCATATTCATTATAATTTTGTCAATGCACAGAAGAGAAAATTAACTTTTCTTAAGAAACAAATAAAAGGTACTTAGAAAGATCTCATCGCTGCTATGGGGAAAGCGGAGATGAGATGGATTTTTACTTTGAATTCTCTCCTCCTTCATGGTCTTAACAATGATTTTGAACTTTGCCACTTTTTATGAAATCTGACTTACATGCTTTTAGAAATATATTTTTTATATTTGATCTATTTTGTATTTATTATATCTGAATTATGTGTACCCTTTTTATTGTATTAATTTTTTTTTTTATTATTATTTTTTTAAATTCTTTATTTTTCGTGCATTTAGGCTTAACAGACAAGTTTGTGGTACCCAAAAGGCAGTCCACTTGCTTTTACCAATAACATATGAAACAGTGGGGTACATAATGACATTTGCACATTTTTATATTTAACCCCTTAAGGACACATGACATATGTGACATGACATGATTCCCTTTTATTCCAGAAGTTTGGTCCTTAAGGGGTTAAAGAGAGATTAAGTACTAATAAAGCATAAGTAGATCAGGCACATTCTGCCTAACATTGCTGCGACTGCTAAATATGTGTTAATCGTCATATGTCTAGCTAGTCTGGGTGTGGTTGTGCTGCCTTCGTGTCATCTATGCGCTTCCCTGCTACGTGCTGCCCGTTTTATGTTGTGTGATTATGCGTAGATATTTAGGCTATGAATAAACGTATAGGTGTTTTCAGGTGCCATGTGAAAATAATATCATTAGTGACACACCTATGCAGTACACACAAGTTGAGTAAGCGAAGGAGTTGTGAAGTAGGCAGGGGTCTCATATCACCAGTTTTTCGCTAGGTGTTCGTGTACCTGTCTAAGATATGTGGTTCAAAATTTAAGCTTTGAGGTCATTTCTATTTAAGTCACTTTATAAGAAATTTCACCCTTGTTGGTCGGGGTTACCCGGGCTGTCTTAGTGGAAATATGTCGTCTTGGCGGCCCCAAGGCCACACTGACAGGAGGAGTCCCAGCACCGCCTGATAACTGCTCCGCTGTTTCTGAGCGGCAGACAAGTTGTGTCTGGGGGAGCAGGCATAGCAGTTTTCCAGGCATAGTCCGTCTTTACTCCGCAGTGAGTACTTTGCTGAGTTCTCCTGGACTGTAGCCATAATATATTGCTCTTGCCTTTGTCGTTCCTCTGGAGGTTGGTGTCAGTCACAGTGGAGAGGTTGTTGTTACCCACGTGGGTTTACCGCTTGCTGAGTCTTCGTGGGTCAGTGCGGGTGAGGAGTGTTTGCAGAGTCCATTCTCCTGCTCATGTGTCTTGCTTTGCAGTGGGGGGAGGGGGCGAGGGATGTTCCTTGCACGGTTTTCAGACGCTTCCGTGCCGCCACCATTGTCCGCACATGTGGGTCGCTTGGGCAGTTTGGTGTTGATTTGAATGGCGTCGGGGTGTGGTGTATTAGTTTATTTATATCTTTTTGGTTTATATTTACCATATGAATCCTTTTTAAATACATATTTTAAGCATATTCAATAATACTTTTATGTATATACATTTATCTGGATACATTTTCCCACTCAGATCCGCTACTTTTTCACTCCCCTCCTGTCTATTATTATTATTGATATTGTTTTTGGATTTTCCATATGTGTGTGTGTGTGTATATATATATATATTATATATATATATATATATATATACACACACACAAGTTTTAACTTTCTTGTCTTATTGTTTATGCTACTATCCGAGGACTACCTATACTTGAGGGCTACCATGCCCTCAAATGTGGACTTAGGACTCTACTACCCCAACATAGATTCGCCAGTAAACAACATGGCGATACGGAACATGGAAGTGATGGAAGGACCGCAACGTCCCTTCCGGTGAACGGACGACTATCAGCTGGCGATTAACACGACGAAACGGATAGGATGATATGATTTCAAATGGACGAATGAAACAACACCTACAGATATAAAGACCAATAGGCCGCATGGATGGATTACTTTGATGGAAAAAGCACACGAAACGGGCGAAACGCGTCTCAAAGAGGTCGGCAAGTGCAAGGACTCTTCACGATTGTTTTTATATTTAATGTTATTTTATCCATTTATTATTTTTTGAATAAATAAGTCAAAAAAAATCATTTTGGTCTTTTGAATAAATCTTGCTGCTGCCTCCATCCATTCCTAAAGAAGGTTTACCCCCCTTAGTGGGTAACAAACGGTCCTTCCTAGAGCCAGGTTTAATAGGCTCTGGATCAGGTGATCAATATACCTATTGATATTTATATGCTTGACCTTTCTGCCAATACATGCTTCACTAGGAAGACATCCTTCCCTATGTGCTTTAGGTCTTTGAGTCATCAAGAAAGCATTATTAAGAAGGAAGGTGTTCCCTTACATACACCACAGCGAATGTGATCTGAGCCAGTCCTATAGTTGGCTCTTTATTTGTGAGTTTAAATTACAACCATCTACTCACTCTGCACACCTTATATGACATACTTCATCATTTGGATATTTTTGTTTTGTTTTCGCTCTTATGTATACCATTGCATTGGGAGTATATTAACCCCTACTTAGGGGTAAGTACATTTAGCGCTCCACCTTTAAAAGGTGTTTCTAGTGTGTTTTTCTCTTCGATTTACCCCTTTAAACAACACTTTATACCACTTTTACTTAGAAAGACATCTACAAAATATTCACAGAATTAAAAACATTAAATCGGAAACAATGGTTAGAACGTCATTGGTGTCCTTTAAAGACATTTTAATGGTAATTTCCTATATAATCAAGAGGGGAAGAGAGAGAAGAAAAAAAAAAAAGGGTAGGCATGGGAAGAGAGAGGGATCAAGAATTCAGAACTGACAGGAGTGAGGGAATCAGGAAAAAAGAGAACGGGGTGCCCGAGCTGAAGTGTGAACAATGATGAGGAGAAGTAAAATGAGAAGGATGGTGAGAGAGAAGTAGGGATGCGGGGGGGAAAGCTCCCATCTATGGTCCCCTGGAGGAGCATTTGTATAATGCTTAAAGAATAAAGTTTTTTTTTTTAAAGTAGTCAGAACAGCTCCACTAAGCCAGGTATCCCAGACCTTATGAAAAAAATTAGGGGTGTCACGTAGTTGTGATGTAAGTTTGTCAGTTTCAATAGCTTCACGTGTTTTCTTCACTATTGCCCTGAGTGTGGATAGCGCTTCTTGTGCCATCAGTTTATTTTCTGCTTTAGTGAAAGTGTCCACAGCTTTGGACATGGTTTACTTTGAATTTGAGTGTGTAGAGCTACAACTGCAGTTCACAGTGGTTTAAGTTTTAGGCATGACCACCAGCAGTGTAGGAAGGTTCACAACTCCTCGTACTGCTTCCAACACAGATTTGATATTGACTGCATTACAATTGCCAGGCGCTGTGGGATAAGGTACCAGTGAAACAATATTTTGAATGCCAGTTCTTTGTGTTTTTCGCAAATAGTAAGGAAAAAGGTCGCTTCCCATATTTTCAACCAGTTGGGTCTCCCAGAGGTCCCAAGTTCTTTTCCCATCCAGCTATGTATGGTAATTAAATCTGGGTGAAGTGTGTTACCAAAGATGTGTAAATATCAAGTATTTGACCTTTTCTGGCTGGGCAGTGTAGACATGTGCTTCAAATGGGGATAGTTAAGTTTTTCTTGCTTATTTAATGAGTGTGAAAGAAGACACTAGGGGACACTGGGCGACAGATATATGGGGCACTGAGACACTGATACTTAGTCTCAGTGTCCCCCTGTGTCTCAGTGTCCCCTAGTGACACGGGGACACTGGGAGATAGGGAGACACTGTGAGCAATCCATCATACAGCAGAATCAAACTAAGTAGTTTTTGGGTGATTTTACAGAATTTTCACTTATGTCACTCCTTGTGATTTACATCATGTGATGTCACACATACATAATTAGTAAGGTATTTTTTTCCAAGAAAGGTGGCAACCCTAACTACTCTTCACATACTCTTAAGTATGGAAACTTAAGAGGGATTTATGGAAACAAAACATGAGTGGACTAGCTGAATTGAAATTAGTTAAGGCAATGCTGACTTTGGTCTCTCTGACAATGTGGCATGTTTATTCTATACTCACTACATCCACCTTTTCTCTGTCTCAGACTGTATACCAGGAGCTTCTGTCTGCTAGTAAGAAGGTAAGGAGACAAGTGGACATGTGAGTGCTAGAGGATACTTGTGCCAACAGCATCCTGAGCTTGGCATAAATGTGCGAGCGCATCATTAGACGCATTTATGCCAAGCTGAGGATGCTGTTGGCCTCCTTTTTGGGCATGTTCGTCCCTTTCGGGAGGTCTGGTTGCATGATCCATATCAGTGGCCCACCCTTTTACACCACCCATTGACTTCCTGCTTCAATGGACACTGCTGTTAGGGGGTATGGATTTACTTGAAAGATGAAAGCATGTATTAGAGAGAGATTAGCATATTTTAAGAGAATCTGAGTTTTCTTATAGCTGCATCCTATGAGTTTCCCTCTGGCAACATCTCCACCGGATACACAATGCTTGAGAGTTATAATTGTTTTAGTGTTTTTGGTCAATAACATTCTGTACTTAGGCCCCTCAATTTTTAGCACCAGGCCCACTGGGCTCTTAGTCTGGCCCTGATGTTGAAACTCTGGTGTTAAGAAAAAAGCATGTCATTCGGGGCTTTTGACATTTTATTGGTTCGGTAGCTGTAACTACCGAACACAGACTACCTTCCTGGCTCATTATCTTCAAAGGAAAACCAGCAATTAAGCGCTCTCCTGTATAGCCGAACACCACGTGCGAGAGAAAACGGCGGCCATCTAGTTTGCACGAAAGGAGGCAGCTGGACATGGTCGTCGAGTGTCTGGAACTAAAATCGGACACTCTACTTCCAGAACACCGGTCAAACTATACGAACACCTGCTTCCTTTTACCGAACAGCTAGGAGAGCGCTGTTCGGTAGTTTGGTTCCCACGAACAAGGGGAACAAGCGTTTCTATGAGCCGTTCGTTTATTCTTTCGTTTTGTGACTTTTCAAAATAGACCGACTGCACAGCATAAACTCATGGAATGGTTTCTGGGCAGGGAGCCTTGTGTGCGGTCAGTAAAATGGGAAAACCATTGAACTGATCTGGTTGATTTTTTGGATATGTTGGTCACCCAGATCAGGGCTATCAGGGGGTATGACATTTATGGGAATATGATGTGTTTTGGGGGAAAAGTGTTTTAACTACCTGGAGATAATTGACTCAATCTAGCTGATGCATTTATCTCACAGGCAGAGGGGAGGGAATTATCTGTTGATATTGGGAGTGTCACACTTTGTCACTCTATTGTCATTGGTTGTAAACTTTGTGTCCCTGTTCTCCACAAGGTCCATGTGGGAGTGCCCCTTGCATGGGGACTTGCATAAAAGCCAGTTTGTGCTATTAAAATTCATTCCTGTTGTACCCTTCATGAAGTCTAGGCTCATGTTTGGGTAACTGTCTACTTGCTGTGGAGAAACTACTTGGAGGCTGCATTCGTCTGAAACTATTTGTATCTACACCTGAACTGCAGCTATAATCACTCAGGCTCAGCAGTTCGGGAGGAATAGGCGAACAGGGTATCTACTATACCAGTGTTCATAACATTTGCCAACAGCTGTTGTGGCATGTCTAGCTTTAATGCAACATGCATAATCTATGCACGAAAAAATAAAGAATAAAAAAAACCAAAAAACTTTAGAGCGAAAAGAAGGATTTAAATGTAGAATAACTTTAAATGATGGAAAATTGTGTATTTTTCTTTTGCTAATAGTGCCTAAATTTCACCCAGTCTTCCTGTCGAAGTGATTGCAATTAAAATGGCAAATTTTGCTGATAAAAACTTTAGTGGAACTTCTTGAAGAAGTTCAAATGGACTTTCACATAAAGAATTGAGTACTAAGGGTAGATCCCATAAAGAGAATACACATTTCTTACGAGGGCATAGATGCCAGATGGCTTTAAAAAAAAAAAAAAAATTAACTTTATTAAAATGTTTCAGGCCAAATCCTGTAATAGGAAATTACTTATTGCAGAGATATGTACCTTAAAGAGTGAGACACTCAAACCTTAAAATAAAAAACCTGATCTCAAAAATGTCACAATATTTGGAATGGTAGGATTCAAAACATCACAACCTTCTTCACTGCACCATAGAAGAAATGTATCCCACATATGCAAATAAATCCTAAATGTGGATTTCCTAGTGGAATTAAGGACGACTTTGATCAAACTTTCTGAGAGGCCTTGTTTTACCAAAAGTATCCTTGTAGAAACCATGCCATAGGTTTGAGAGTTTCTGTTGGACTCTCCTTGTTCTCCAATACCTGAGGCTCTACAGGAAGTAACCAAATCCTGTCCATTTCCAAGATCCAGCTCCTGTTCGGCCAATAAGGAATTATGGCCAATATCCAAGTTTTCTTGTGGCACAATTTTCTGAGGATAATTGGAATTATTGCAATTGGTGTAACAATGTATTCTAGTTTGAAATCCCATGTTATGGAAAAGGAATCCAGATAATTGGGATGGTCCTGTTTGTGCAGAGAAGCAAATTTTCTGAGACAAGTGACTAAGCGAAAAAGAATCTTCCTAAAACTCTTTGACAGGCCAAATGGTAGAAACTTGAATTGAAAATACAGCATCCTGTAACCTGACGTTACCGCAAATCTCAGGAATTTTCGTATAATTACATTCATTGGAACATGGAGATAGGCGTCTTTTAGATTTAGTGTAGCCATAAGGTTTTCCATACAAAACTTCTGGTGCGGGATACATTTTTACACTTTTTAAATCCACAACGGACCAAAAAGGTTCTGTTTTTTTCTACCAGGAATAAAATGTTAAATGGTTTCTAAAGTCAATGGGATGTTTGTAATTTTGTTTGTAAATGTTTTTAATCTGCCTTCTACTTTTCCTGTGGCATCAGAATTTTCTCATTTCGACATGATCTGTTTTTGTTCTGAAATCTGTTATCTGGCTGTGTATGAAAACGGTGAAATCTATATTCCGTGTAGAAAGAATTTAGTTTTCCTGTCTTTGGTAGAATGGTTTCTTGTTCCATCTCCGTCTCTTCTTCCGGAGGTAAAGCCGTGTCTGAGATCTACATTATCAAGTCATCTAATGCTGATTTGAACAGTTTGTCTCTTTCAAACAGGAGTTCACTTTTGAAGGCTCAATTCACAGCGTAGGATTTGAGCCAGATTGCCCCCCTGGCCACTGAAGTTAGACTCATGGATCTTGCTGATAATTTAATAAAAACTTCACTCATCTCAGTTGACAATGCATTTGCTAGTCTGATATTTTATACTGAATTATCCTCTGATTTTCCTGCTAAGGATTCTTCCAAGGGTTGAAGCCATGTGTTCATTGCCCCATTAACAGTCGCTCCTGTGAGTAAAGATCTGCTTTGTAAAGCTCCTGTTTTAAAGATTCAATGGGTAAAAGGGCATAAATATCCTGTAAAAGACGTTTTCAGAGCAGCTACGTCTTCAGTGGGAATGGTTGTTTTTCTACTCAATTGTGCTATTGGGAACATTGACTTTCAGTAGGTCTTTCAAGAATCTGCATTCTGCAATTTAAAAAAGTGTTTTACATTGCTTACAAATAAACACAAATTTCTCTGGATTTTTCCATTCTCTTTTCATCATATCTAAATTCTTGTCATGAATTGGAAAACCCTATTCTTTTTTTTTATTTTCGTGAAGTTCCAAAGTTTTGCAGACTTCCTTAATAAATTTGTTAATCTCAGATCTTGGAAAACCTGTTTCTTTATCTGAATCCTTACTCACGGAGTCTGATGCATCTGTACTCCGTGAATACCCCCACAAAGGATAGGTCAGAGATAGATGGCGACCTATGTCTTTTTTACGCTCTAACAGGACTTCTGACCCGGGCACAAGTTTTCTGTAATGCTGCCTCTTTAAATTCAGCAATGTTTGTTTAAATTATCTTGAAGCCATGCAAGGAATGATGACATTTCCTTCTGCTTAGATTTTTCAAGAGATTAATTTGAGCATTGATTACAATATTTCTTTTTGTGACCATCTGGTAGCAGTATTGCACTCTTTGTACACACTAGATGGATGTTTTTCTTTGTGGCCTTTTTTGGAGGAGGTGGAGCTGAGACACTTTTCTTCTCTCTCTGAGGTTACATAAAATAGAATATACAATAAAAATAAAATGGAATGTAAAACGAAAGATTAGCCAATTAACATTTTTTACAGAGTAAAACACTTTCCTCTGATCTTAAAATACCTCTGACATACACCCTGTAATCAGTCAGGTCTAACAGCCTTTAAATAGCTTGGGCGATTTCAAATTTGGTGCTAAATTTCGCGACTCCATTTGAGCATGCGTAGTAGTGCAGACACACAGTGGAATGCACGGCTACCCGAACATCCGTTCCAACATACTGCTCGAGCATGCCGAAGCTTTGGTTATTAGAACCTGGGCCGAAGTCTAACTCCAAGCACGTCCAGCGTGCTTACAGTTTGTGCGTCGTTATTCTTACCTGCACCCGGTCAGAGAATTCTGACAGGGAGCTGACACTATCAACCAGATAGTTCAACTCAGAATGCCTCCCTCTCCAGCAATCCATGATGTTCCACCTGCCTGCAGCTATCATCTGTCAGTCCCGCTGGCAGGATAAGCAAAAACGGAGTTTGTCCAACATTACGTGATTTGTGATTAACAGATAATTTTGTGAATACTGTTATCAGTTCTGACACATCACACAATTCCCTAGCTCGATATCACGGTGACAGAAAAGGTAGCAAATACATCTCTCTTCATACATCACATCAAAAGTACATTATTTAACCTCAAAATATGTAAAGTGCGTACCTTGCCACCGCTCTCATAAAATCCAATGACACTGTACACTTGTACTTTGGTGCATCAAGCTGATCATCGTGACCAACCAAGGTCAACAGCTGCAGGGTCACAAGAGAGGAAATCTAACAAATAGTAAGCGAAAGAGATTATTAAGAAATACTGCAGGCTTTGACAAATAAAACAGAGCACAATCATATACATATATGTATCAAGAAATAATTTACAATGAATGCTGGCACCACAGAAAAAATAAACATATAATAGAAGCTGTTTAAAGTAATAGTTGTTGGACAGTATTGAATAATTTGGAAATCTTACCAAACAAAGGCCCATAGATGCATGGTTTATTATCTGTTCCATAGATGCATGGTTTATTATCTGTTCCCAGGGTGTTTATCGATGAAGCACTTTTAATACTGACTACACTTAGTACATACAGATCTTAAGAGAAAGTATATAAAGTAATGACTGTTTATGTAAAGTAATGGGTGACCTCATTTAATATGCTCTTAGTTTCACCAAAGTGTCACTTAACATCCAGACCCTAGAGACCGTGAGTTAGAGCATGGCAACATAAGTTAATATGCATATCTTCTTATCATCCAAGAGACAGGTAGGTTCTCCACCTACTAACAATGTTGAATATAGCAACACCGAATCCCCAAAGGAAATTGTTCCATAAGAAATTTTCTACTTTGGCCTTTAACCCTTGGGATGTTCATACTCGACCTTTTCGTTCGATATACTTACTGGAATGAAACATGTAAAGTTCTCTTTCTCTGTAACCCCTCTCTGTGCACCGACTGTTGTTACTATGTTGTACAGACAATTATGTTATCAGAAGAAATAAAGTTTTAACTTTAACTCAACGGCTCAAGCCTGGACGTCTATTCCATTGGGGGATTCAATATTAGAGACAGTGGCCCTTAACTGGGGTGTGGTATGGGTCCCTACAGAGATAGATCAATTCTGATTGTAAAACAAATGGGAGATTTATGAAAATATCAAGAGTTCAAGACAGTGGTATTTCTTCTTGTCTATACTTCGATTAAGAAAGGGGCTCTAAAGCTTTTATGATAGAGGTCAAACTTAAAGCATAAAAGCTGATCTATAAACCAAAACTGCTTCATTAAGCTAAAACAAATTTAGCTTAATGAAGCAGTTTTGGTTTATAGATCATGCCCCTGCCGTCTCAATGCTCAATTCTTGTCATTTAGTCATTAAATCATTTTTGTTTCTATTTATACAGCCCTGGCCACACCTCCTCTGGCTGTGACTGACAGCCTGCATGAAACAAAATGGTTTAATTTTCATTCAGATGCTAACTTGCTTTATAAGCTTTTATCTCATGCTCTGCAACTTTAATCCCACACAAGAGGATCCCACGGGTTCTAGAACACTATTAACAGAGCATGAGATTTAAAAAAATAAATTAAAAAATAAACAGAATGCACAATAAAAGAAGTTTAAATATTAGATTTATTTACAGGCAATGTTAGGATAACTGTGTAGGTCACATACAGGGGAGTGAGGCTAGAGCTGCATAAACAAATGTATTTAACTCCTAAATGGCAGGGAATTGAGCAGTGACTGCAGGGGCATGATCTATAACCAAAACAACTTAACGCTTTCCCATTGTTAGGGCATGCAGTGCCGTCCTACAAAAGCAGATCCTTAATGTTGAACTTGTTGCTTTGACACCGTATCTGCTTCGATAAAGCCAGTTATATTCACCTGAAATTTGTCCTGTGAGTGCTCTCTACATTTATTTATCGGCCGGAGCAGCACCCAGGAAAGTACTTTACATTAAAAGTCATTGAGTGCCTTGCTTACTTGTATGTATATAAACAGCAATTTTTTCATGATCAACCATGCCTCAATATGAAATGCATGCAGGAAAATTTTCCAAAAAACCCCCCCACAATATTTTACACCATCTTACCTGAGAGAATATATTCGCAGTTGGTGCCACTCTGCTATCCACAATGCTATATAATATGGCCAGCAGTCTATCCAAGGGAAATGGCTTGGGCCCTAAAAGGTGATTGCTAGTCTGTAACAGAGATCAAATAAGTGACCAGATTGGATTGTTTGTACTGAAAGAAATGTGCTTATGTGTTTCTTTTTACACCTTCCTACTCAATAATTGAATGAAAATCTTAATTTTGTGCTATGTACATTATAGTACACTTTTAAGTAACCACTTCAAACTTTAATATCAACTTTGTCATGTGCAATGGAACATTTTGGAAACAAGAAACAACCTCTACACACTTATACATTTCATTTATTTTTTTAAATGATCTCCCTACATCAGCCAAAATACACAAAATTTTAGGTGATACTGAAGTGCCTGGACAACCAGTTATGTCTTCAGAATGGCTGGAAACCATCTAAATTTGCAGTGTTCGAGTCATAACTGCAATGGACCGAGAAACCATTGTATTTTAGATATTCAGCTAGACTGCAGATCCAGGATCATTGAGTGCTCAACACACATTTAAAAAAAAAAAAAAAAAAGTTATGCATCATTGTTGTAGACTGAAGCCTGAAGAGCATAAATATGAATAAAATGCATGCATTATTGCCTTCAGTCGGACATGAAGTCATGGCTAACACCCCACTTTTCCTGGACCAGGTGAATCAACTCCATAAAGATGAACGTCCTCCCCAGGATCCTCTACCTTTTCAAGAATATACCCCCGACTCTACCTGTCGCCTTCTTTAAATCCCTAAACACAACGTTAATGCAGTACGTCTGGAGAGGCCGGAAGCCCCGACTTCGCATGTCGCAACTGATGAGATCTAAAATGGAAGGGGGCTGGGACTACCCTCATTTCTAATGTATTACAGAGTTACTCATCTGACCAGAATAGCGGTGCAGCCTCGAACGTGAGATTGCTGGAGGACGAATACCAACTGCGGTATGGTTGTCTGAGGGGGAGACATGATCATTTCTACGCGAACAGCCATTCATAGGTGCCACACAGAGTATGGTATCAAATACGGCACAAACTGTCTAACACCATCAAGGAGCCCTACATTGATTCTGTACTTATGCTCACAAAATTAATCACACTACACCTGAGGACAGTATCATCTGGGCAACGGGAGATGGAAGAAGGACTGCGTGGACTTGGGCAGGGGGTGGTAACGCTGCGGACTCTGTTTTGTCCACCATGCCTTTTTCTACAGCTTGTCCTCCCCCTACTACGCATTCTTATCATCTATCCTATGCCTCTATTCCATACTGCCCATTAGTGCATGTATTATTAACCGCAGCAGGGCACTCCCCTTCTTCTATACAGCTCCACGAGCTTGCTGCAGGCATGGGGAGTTGGCTGATAAAGGGAACACCCCACTTAGTGAATTGGGGGCCAAATACACAGTGGGCCATGGGCTACTACGATGTGTCAAGGAGAGGCTGCGGAGGACTTGGTGGAGAACCGAGCAGGTATCGAATGAGGGAAGACTTAACAGGAGACCTCACAGATTAACATAGATCCCCGGGTCCTGACATCCCATGGCAAATGAGGATAGCTCCCGAAACACGACCAAGTTGTACACACACACACACACGCACTGGAGTTGCACACGTTATCTTCTTGTCAATTCAATTCGCATTACGGTTTAGAAAATGTTGACAATCTACTTGATGATGTTAGACAATGTATCAAGGCTAACACTGTTTGAATGTTCCATATGTATATTAACTCTTGACTGCTTTCCAAGGCCTTTGCTAAAAACAAGACTGTCAAAACAAAAGGGGGAAACAAAAACAAAACAAAAAAAGAGGGGGGGAGGGGAGAGAGGCAGCGGGGAGGTGAAGCAGGGGATAGGGACAGACAGGGAAGAAAGACTGGAACCTCTCCAGTTACCAGTAGCATTCTTCTGTCCGATTTAAAACATATGGCATAAAGCAAACAGATGCAGACTCGGGTTCTTTAGCAAAAGCGATTCGAATACTGTATGGTTTGGAAAGATAGAAGTTATAATTCTAATGTTGATAGGCACTGTGCTCCATACTTTTTTACTGGCCACCAATAGGTCAAGGTATTTGCCTTGTTTTGTACGCATTTCTTTAATTCTACTGTATAACCTACATTTTCACTCTATTACTTGTAAAATCTGTACTAAAATCTTTCAATAAAAAATAGATTGTCAAAAAAAATGCATGCATTATTATATTCTACTGGAAGACAGATCAAATTTTCACTTTTCATTTATTTAAAGAATACCTAAAAATAGGTTTTTCTCCCATATCTCAGTCAATGCCTCGACAGACACTCGATGCTGAGGCATTTATATACAAGGTATAGCAAAAAAGACCTCCCCCACAAGAGGTCCTTCTGCTCTCCCAAGCATACCAACCACAGCACATGCGCTGTGGTTGCTATGGAAACTTCACAGACTGTGCTTCTAGCGTTGGCTATGGAGTATAGGAACGGAGTCACATCACTCCGTTCCAACGCCGGCAACGAAGACATCACTGAGAAGATTTGCGCTGCTTGGGGAAGTGTCCTGAGCAGGGCAACTCAACGAAGACTGTAGGCGAGTGTTACATGAAGAGTAACACCCACGAAGGTCAAATATGGCAACGCTGGAATGTTAGAGAGGTGACTAAATCTCTATATTTTACACTGAATACATCACATATCTTTGTGATATAGAATTTATACTATGAATGTGGGAATGATTTCAGGCAAGTAATTTTTTTTCCTATACAGGTTCACTTTAAAAAAGTTTATTACATTTAATGAAATTAAATATTTTTAAAACGATGTTTAAGCAGCCGTGTTGGGTCAGATTCTAATGCTGAATGACCAACAGGTCAACCTAACTTGCCTGCTTCTACAATTTCACAAACAGCAATCACAGCAGCAAGCAAGTTAGGCCGAGCAGTGTATGGTCAAATAACTATAGAGTCTTATATAGCATGGCGGTTATATAAAAGGGACATGTTCATTTAAAAAAAAAAATTTAAATCAATATGTTTCATTTAGAAAAAATATATTTCATGAAATGTAACAAACTTTTAAAAAAAACAAGAAGTGACAATTTGATTACAGTTGTATTTTAATTGACCTGATCTCAACATAACTATTTTAATTCATTTCCCCAGTAAGGAACTCACAAATCTGAATTTATGACGAATGTAAAACTGTACTACTATATTTTTATCATTTCGTGCAAAATACATCTTTTTATAGTTAGTTTCATGCTATTTAGAATCACTAAATGATGATTAAACCATTTCTATCAGGTGAAATGTTTGCAAAGACATTTTTAAAACACCGTAATGGTAAATTATAGCTTGTAACATATGTGCAAATAAATACTATTACATATTTAAATATTTCCATACCTTTTCATGTTTTTTCGAGAAATCTGTCTTCTTAATTTTCCCATGGTGCTAAAAATCAATAAAACAAATGAAAGCATAAGGCCTATTTTACGTTGTAACGTCACTAGTTAAATCTAAGAATCTGATAATATGGTAGAAAATCTTGCTGCTGAATTAAAAGCAAGTTAACTCCTTAATGTATGGTGAAGTGAGGTGTAAAGTGGATCTAAGAGACTACCCAATGCTCTAGTGTTAGAAAAAAATATTTTTAAAAACTGAAGATTTCCTTTAAAGTGATTTGCAATATTATATAAAATAACACATTTCAAGTAGTTGTCATATAATGCTTGACATGTTAATAACAAAAAAAATTGTTACTTTTTTTTTTATATGTATCTTGCCTATTCTTTGTTTATACATAAATAAAAAAGCCTCCACGCAATAGAAAGCAATTATTTCCCAACCTCTGGGAGAAGAGAATAAAGGATTAGATTGCAAGTTCACAGGCTATCTAACCAAGCACTTAATGTACATTAAGGCTTCAATGGTTAGATCTCAGATCATGGCAAGGCCCTCTTTACCATTTATATTGGTCTGTGTACATTGTACAGTCGCTCCAATTGAACAGCACTGTGCAGCATGTTGGCGCTTTATAAATGCTGGTAATCCTTTAAGGAGACGTTTTTTCTCCAAACTATCCTTGTACACCACTGTCAACACTCTCTGTTAGTAGTTTATGAAGCAGCAGTAGATTTTATAATGCTGTCTTACAGCAACGGTTCAAATAATGCAAAGAATCTAAATATAGAATATCTGCAAACATCTACCAGAAAGGGTTACACTTTTTAAAAACGTTATTTTTCATTCTGTGTGTGTATATAGGCCAGGCTTCAAACCTTTAGGAAAAACCTTTTGTCTGTTCTTGCAGGGTTGAAGGAAGCCAGATACGCTGCAATGAGCAGAAATTTGGAGTAGTAAGGCAATTCTACATGGGCGTGAGCAGATAACCCTTGAAAAATACAGAAAAGAAAAGAAAACAAAAACGAAAAAGTTATAGAACATATGAATGATGTTGCACTTAAGTAATCCATTAACTCTGTGAGAAACAAACAAAAACATGTTCTAAAGGCAACTACAAGAGTAAGAGCAACTAGAGGTAATTAGCTGAAAATGAGACATTGCACTTAAGTATGATCCATTAATGTTCTGTGAGCAATCCTAACAAAAACATGTTCTAAAGGCAACTACAAGAGTAAGAGCAATTAGAGGTAATTAGCTGAAAATGAGACATTGCTCATATAGAATGGCAATATGTTTAGATTGCAATCCTAACATGATCAACATGAAACCTCACAATAGTGATGTGCAATGACAGTCAGCACACATTCTTTAGCCAAGCAGCAGAGACTCCTGGAGAAGGAGATGCTCATATTTGGATAAAAGTTGCTCAGGGGAAGCTAAATGGGGCTTTGTCTACTCATAACATAAAAAATAAAACATTAAAAAAAAAAAAAAAAATGCCAGTTGCATACATTTTATAAAGCTTACAGGTCTAATGTTTTTTTAGATTCAGATTCAACTCTCTCCCAATCCCCTGTACTGCTATGTCCATTCCTCCATCACAACATTTCAGGGAAAGGCCGTACCTCTGAGTTGTCCGGCTTCTCTGTCCTCTTGTTGCATCTTCTCCCACTGGGAGCTGTGAAAGAAAACAAAACTGTATACATCACATTATGTAACCTATTCACAAAGTGAATAATGAATTCCTCAGAAAAAAGCACGTTGATCCATCTGAATGAGGCTGAAGCTCTAATACATTCAGTCACGTCCTAGTGAAGCGAGCCTGAAAGCTGGCATGTTCACTCAGGCTTGGTCACTGAAGCTGCCTGTACAGCTAGATTATGGGTATAGACATCCAATGTCCAACGTGCCCATTGCTGCAATGAAAGCACAGTAGTTCCAAAATAATGTGGCCAACATGTTTGTATTAAGATGACATATTGCTGGAGCTCAAATTAGTTTTTTTTAAGTTGCTTGCCTTCCAAGATAAAAGTGACCTGTGACTGCTTCTCTCCAACTCTAGTATTGTTACTATCTAGATCACTTATTATAAGTAGCGATGTGCGATCATAGATGTTTAAGGCTCACCTATGGCTTCAGATGGGTGGTGGGAACAGGGAGTAGGCTTTCCACCTCTGCTTATAAGGTCCTTCACAAACTTGTGCCTTCCTGAGAAGGATGTAAACTGGAAAAACCTTTGCAATGCAGTCAATATGTTGTGGTGGGCAAGACACTATATGGCAATACAGGATATCTTAATCCATATACATTTTACTTCAGGTATTCCTGGCAGTATAGTGCCTCTGTGTCTGTATAGCTCCACAGCCCCTTTATATCGCACGATTTTACTCACCTTTTTTTCCCCATGCTGTGCCGGTCTTGCAGTGGTTGGCTCCATCAATCCGCCAATCAGGATCTCCTCATAGAGATGCATTGAATCAGTGCATCTCCAGGGGGCATGTTCAGCGTCTCTATACAGAGTGTGGAGACTCTAAATGCCAGTGCTGCCCCTGGAAGCAGTGACTAGGCACCAATGTAAACAAAGTCTTTTCTTTGAAAATACAGCGTTTACTTTAAAAAGCCTGCAGGGACATGCTATATACACCAAAACCACTACATTAAGCAGTAACTAATCTGGTGACTATAGTGCCCTTTTAAATATAATTGTAAAAACATGGGCAAAAGAAAGAAGAATAAAAATAAAAGGAAACGATGGTTAACAACACTCAATGGCATCACCAATTGATATATTTTTTTTTTTTAAAACAAACATATGAAAAAGCATCTTACAAGAAGACAAAGGATCAAAGCTTATCTAACGCAGATACAGTGTACTTGTTAAGAGGTACTTGTCATTTTTTCCTATGCATCATGTGGGGGTCTTTTTACAAGATTTCTACATTAATAAACTAAATGATATGAAATTTTACCTTGATATTTCCCGGAGATAAACCGTCTGCATGGCCCTCTTTAAATGAGGCTCAATATTTCGAAATAGTTTATGTGAATCTGTTTCTTTTGCTATAAAAATACAATATGAAATGTATATTAGGTCTACCTACTGCTATTTAGGTTTCCTTAGCTCTAACACATTAACAATAATCTCGCTCCACCTCTATGGCATACGTGGTATTATTTGTTGTACCTTGTATGATGCTCACCTGAATTTCATTACAATTTTATTAAAGTGAAAAAAATGAAGGTAAAAGCAGAAGAGAAAGTAAAGAAGAGCATTGTGGTGCTAATAAATAGAATGTGCTCAAACAGGTTTGCTAGCAAAGATCTCATCTGAAGGACCTATGAATCTCGGTGGTCAGCTCTGAACAATAATGTTCTACTGGATTAAAATAATGCACATTTGGGCTTTGTATGGGTGGGCAGTGTTTAAAAACATTAATATAAAAGTCATTAACTGAATGCACATCCAACATTGATACACTGCAGAATGGAATTGCCTACTACCTCCGTAAAATCATATACTTACACACAGGCATACAGTTACACATGCCTGACCCAAGCACATCATCCACCCTTATAATTATAAATACAATCCACCCACGTAAATACACATTTTCAAAACCCATCTTATTGTATTTTTGTGTTCATAGACTACATCTTGTGCACTAATGCAGAAATTTAAATCATTGGGGGAGCTCAAAATCCATACTGGAATACTAACCCCAGTACCAACAAACAACCACTATTCCTTATGGCACAAGAAAGCTATTTAGATAATTAATTGTCCTTATGTCGATGTATGCTGTATTATGGACGTGGCTCGTCTAGGGGTGAAAGACGGATGGATTATTGTGGGTTAATGATGCCAAGGAGCAGTCATTTTAAACATGTTATGTGTGTTCAACACTTACCTTCCCCTTTAGTGACAGGTTCACAGTACTTTATGAAGTTAAGCTCAGCCTGCATGACACAGATAATTAAAGTGTAAAAATCACAGATTAAACTGTGAAAATGGCTTGTGTAGAACCAAATTCAGTAAATCAAAATAAAAACTTAATATAAATCCAAAAATAAATATTAAAGCTTGAAATTATTTTGTCATGTAAGCTTTTAAAGTAGTAAAACGGTTTTGTCAGAACATAGTGGAGTTTATTCACTAAAGTGGGATGTATTAAGAAATGGAAAGGGAATTGCAAATTGTGGGTTGTAATAACCAGTCAAGGTTAAAAATAATGGACTTGGAAAAATTCAAATTTGGCTTTTTTGTCTTAAAGGACCACTATAGTGCCAGGAAAACATACTCGTTTTCCTGGCACTATAGTGCCCTGAGGGTGCCCCCACCCTCAGGGCTGGATGGAGAGGAAGGGGTTAAACTTACCTCTTTTTCCAGCGCCGGGCTGGGAGCTCTCCTCCTCCTCTTCGGCTGAATGTGCATGCGCGGCAGGAGCCGTGCGTGCATTCAGCCAGTCCATAGGAAAGCATTCACAATGCTTTCCTATGGACGCTGGCGTCTTCTCACTGTGAGAAACGCGGAAGCCCTCTAGCGGCTGTCAATGAGATTAACCCTAACATAAACATAGCAGTTTCTCTGAAACTGGACGTGGCACCCAGACCACCTCATTAAGCTGAAGTGGTCTGGGTGCCTATAGTGGTCCTTTAAAGCAATTCACTTGTTAATTTGGCAGTTCAAATAACTCAACATTATACCTACTGTTTATTAATGCAATTTGGTGAGTATACAAAGCAGCCAATCACATAATTTTTTTTTGGGGGGGGGGGAAGGTTAATCATAAAACACGTGTAACTGTAACTGCTGTGAGAGTAACCATTTGTTTATCAGCTCAACACCCTGTTACATCTAATCTTTCCCTAAAAATTAAAAAAAAACATTAAAAAAAAAAAATATTAAAAAAAAATATATTAGTTTTTAGCATTAGCCAAGTCACATAAAGATAAGAAATAACCAAAAATGCCATCTTCTCACTATCCCTAAAGAAATAAAGAAAAAAAAAAAGAAAACAAGCCTCATCAAAAAAGAAATAAAATAAATCAACTTTAGGCAGCAAAAGTAACAAAGAGTATGTACTAACTCAATATATATACAGACTGGACTACAGTGGCAGCCTTTTAAGCCTAAAGGGTAACAATATTTCTCATAATCTTTGCCCAAGCTGCCGGTGAATATTCCCGCTGTAGGTTGACTTTCATTGACCCAGCCATAACGTTCCTGCCAAGGCTAACACTGAGGACTTGGACTTGTGAAACGGTTTCAAGGCAGTAAAACGACTTTGGGAGCATGGATGTTGGGAAAACGAGCCTCAAACTCACTCACAACGTTCTCTGTAATTACAGCATTTGGTTTAATCATTAAACTATGAATAATGAGGAAAAATGAAATTCCGGCTAAACAGCAACACACTAGAAAAATTATCCAAACAAAATGTTTTTGCTATTATAGTGCTCGTGCCATTGTACAGAACACTGGTGGACCTCACTTGGAGTATTGTACACAGTACTGGAGACCGTATCTTCAGAAGGATATTGATACCTTAGAGAGGGTTCAGAGAAGGGCTACTAAACTGGTTCATGGATTGCGGGATAAAACTTACCAGGAAAGGTTAAAGGATCTTAACATGTATAGCTTGGAGGAAAGACGAGACAGGGGGATATGATAGAAACATTTAAATATATAAAGGGAATCAACACAGTAAAGGAGGAGACTATATTTAAAAGAAGAAACACTACCACAACAAGAGGACAGTCTTAAATTAGAGGGGCAAAGGTTTAAAAATAATATGAGGAAGTATTACTTTACTGAGAGGGTAGTGGACGCATGGAATAGCCTTCCAGCTGAAGTGGTAGAGGTTAACACAGCGAGGGAGTTTAGGCATGCGTACGATAGGTATAAGGCTAGCCTAGCTATAAGATCAGGCCGGGGACTACTGAAAGTGTTTAGAAAATTGGGCAGACTAGATGAGCCGAATGGTTCTTGTCTGCCGTCACATTCTATGTTTGTGGTCCAAGATGTGAAATTCTCTTGCAATTTCTCAAAAGTTTCCAGGTTAGGGAACAATACCCCTATTGTCAGTATATGCTGTATACACATACACCCACACATTTGACAGTATATCAAAATAAAACTACAAATGTTTAAATTGTATGCCCTTATAGAAAATAAGCTAGGTGACATGACAGAGGAAGCCAGATTTCTGCTTCCTAAGCTGTACAAAACATTATACGGATCACAGTATCGATAATGTTAGTTCTTAAGTTAAAGATCAAAAAATAAATTTTATGTGAAATACCGTTTCTTACCAGGTGCCTGAGTTCTTTTATGTCCCGGCATACAGTGTAAAAAACACTAAGAAGAATATTAATGTAGGACGCATAGAATTCTGCAGAGTACTCTTCAGGATAATCACTGGATAGGATCCTTTGAAGTTCCGCTACAAAGGAAACGGGCACCCTATTAGGCTATTTATATTTCATTATATTGGTTAAAAAAAAAAAAGCATAAAGTGGATCTAACCAAAATGAACAAGAAATCTGCAACGATTATTCTCAGGTATAGCCTGGAGTTACCTACAGTATGAAATGAGTATGTTTACCAGCTGTGCAAAAAAAAGTTCCTTTATCACCCACAAAATTTATTTCCAATCAGTTCTGACAGCTCTGTTAATGCCTTTTTCATCCAAGTACCCTAACCGTATTAACCTAGGCTTCAATTTCATAATTTCAAATGATTCAACATGGTTACAGAAAAAAGGAAAAAACAACTTTATCTATAGAAATCATTAAGGTCTATGGGAATCTTTGTAGATAAATAATTTCTTACGTTTTCGAACCATATTGAGTCATTAGGAAAATGTACTAAAATCAAGACCCTAATGTTAAAAGGTTAAGTTTCATTTGCAAGTACAGAGGAGGAAGAATAACCAGCTTTTTAAATGGTTGTAGTTATAAGCAAGTTTATGTAGGCAGACAGGGACAGAGGGCTTCTCTGCACTGTAATCTATGCAAGAGAAGTTATTATTCTTATGGCATTTATATAGCGCCAACTTATTCCAGTATTATAAAGAGGAAATTTAACAATAAAGGAGACAATTACAAAATGTTACAGGAACAATAGCTTGGTAAGGATCCTGCACAAAACACTTACAATCTGGATGAAGTGGGGTATAAGAACATGATAGGAAGTTCAGAATAGGGGATAGTAACCAAGCGACAGGGTGGGAAAACAGGAAGGTGAAAGTGGAGTGTGGCCCTTTAAGAGACCAAGGAACGGGCTTGTGAAATAAGTTACTCTGGGAATAAGCTATTCTAAACAGATGGATTTTGAGGGACTTCTTAAACAATTGAAGACTAGGGAAAAATCAGAGGGGGTAAGCAGGATGTTCAAAAGTAAAGGAGCCACCCGTGAGAAGTCCTGCAAGCGTGAATTAGCAGTAAGGGTGCAGGACAGGAGAAAGTCACCGGCACAGCAGAGAGACAGCAGGGAAGGGGAGTACCTACTAATTAGTTAAAAAATGATATCCACAGCATTGGTTTATGGGATATGCAATTCAACACTAACTGTTTAATTCAATTAATACATTAAAATGGCAAGTAACAAACCTGGGAGATACAAGAAAGAAACTAAACTTCAGGAAATATAAACTAAAATACCTTTACTGTAATCCGCAAAATATAATGTTAATGGTTCCAAGCAGCCAGTATTCGGACGGAATGTTTCCCAAACGATTTCACTCAGAAATATGACCGTCACATTGCTCTCTGTCTGCAATAGTAACCAAATACAATTTAATACAGTATCAGTTATCAATACAGATACTTCCCAACACCTCAAAGACCTGCTTTCCAAAATAGGTCAAAATATATCAGTATCCACAATGGGACAGAAATGGGTCTTTGTAAGTCAATCAGTACTGGGACGGGAACTGTGGTCAGGAGAGTGAGAACTCAAGAATGAATATTCCAGCACAAATGACTGATTAAAATAATCAGGTGATCAAAACACCATCTAGAACATGTGACAAGTGATAAAAGAAAATGAGGAAATAATGCAATATTAACAAAACAGAGAATGTAGTTTTAGATCTAGGGGATTAAAATATTTATCTATCACATTCACTTATGTAAAAATCCAGTTCAGATAAGGCCCAGGAAACAAATGTGTATATATGAATGAGGACCTAAAGGGACGCTATAGTCACTAGAAGTATTACAGCTTATTTTGGGGCTCTAGTGTCTATAGCATGCAGGCAGATAAATTAAAATGTATGTGCAATAGCCTTCCAAAGCTTTATGATGGGAAAGCATTGGATTGGCTGAGATAATACTGATTGATGATCTCAGGCATGGAGGCGGGCTGATCAAGAAAAGACAAGTAAAATACCTTAGAACTCCAGTCTAAGGGGCCCGGACACCTAAAAAGACACTCCAACACTGTAGTGGTCCTTTAAGTGGCTATGCCAGAGGTCAATTGTTCAAAGCAAGTTTCCAAAGCCAAGGGTTTTTAAGGATTTGATAATTTGATATCCTGGTTAATCCATGGCAGCAATCCACTGCACAAACATTTATTTGCTCCATCAGTTATAAAACACTGACATTTGAACAGTACACAGTTACTGAAAAGTTGCTAAAGGTAAATGATATAATTTTTTATTTATTTCTCTGGGTTTTTTTTTTTCTTTTTAAATAATTTAGACAAACGAAATGTATTGCTGTTACCAGCAGTATTGTACTATTTCCAGTTTCAAAGAAATAATGATATAATTTTGATAAAACATTGGTATAAATGTTTACACCTACCAGTTCCTGTAATCTGAGGAAGCCAGGCAAGAGATTTGCATCCATTTCCCGTAACAGGTCTGCCTTATCCAGAACCTCAATAGAGAATATCATTCAGTTTGTATAAAAAAAAATTATAATAAAAAAAACAAACCTTACACAAAAAAAAAAAATTATTAAAAAGCACTAGACAAGCTTTAATTTTACATTTTTAGCATACACAAGACACTAATATACTAATCGGCAATGATAAAAGTAATCAAAGATCACAAAAAAAATGTAAATATAAGGTGGACGCAGACATGATTACAATTATCGAACAGAGTAAGAACAGTCTTGCAACTGAAGTGGTAGAGGTTAACACAGTAAAGGAGTTTAAGCATGCGTGGGATAGGCATAAGGCTATCCTAACTATAAGATAAGACTAGGGACTAATGAAAGTATTTAGAAAATTGGGCAGACTAGATGGGCCGAATGGTTCTTATCTGCCGTCACATTCTATGTAAGAAAGAAAGATGTAGATCAGGAAGAGCAGTACATAGGAAAGGAGGAAGAAGCAATATGAGGAAACGGTAAAGGGTCAGATAGTTTGGATCTAAAGGAACTGTTAAACAAATTTAAAAAAAAGTCAATTAGGAAACAGTGGGATCAGGTGAATTGGAGTGGAAGAAATTCTATAGAGGTGGTCAGGTAGGGGCAGAAAGACGGATCTGTGGATTGTTGAGGAAGCTTTTGGCATTTTCTGGATAGATATAGTAATTGTGGAATTGTAACTTCTGCAATAGCAAGGGTCCAGACAGGCACCTGGCGGACCTTCAGATTGTCAAACTGCTTTTGTGATTTGACACAGAGAACTGGGGGAACTGGGGGAATGGAGCATGCTGGCAACTTAACTACTACAGCATAATGCAATAGGTTTTGTGCTTTAAGCACCCTTTAAGTCTACCTTCACAATAATTAAATTTTTATGTTGAATTCAACAGTGACAATGTATTGATTTGAAAAACACAACCAGAACAAGCCTTGTAACAAACAGCCACAGCAAACATATCATTCCAGCATGTTCTGCTATGGATGTGCAGATATAAAGTTGTAAACCGGTCACTTTTTTATGCTACATTTACTCCATCTAATAGGTTCACATGGTGGATAAGGATCATAGACTGAGGTACAGATTGTCAGGTTGCATAAAAGCAAGATTGGCAATGTGTAACAAGGAGCGATATGGGTTCCTTGCAATAGACTCAAGACGTCAGAATTCAAGTAAGTACTTTGAAAACGTAGCATTTATTAGAAAAACTAGAATGGAAAAATCGCCCAAAAAATAAACAAACACTGTCTGCTATACAAGTAATTTGCCAGCAGTCTGTTGTTTACGGGGGTTCAGAACTTGCACTGTTAACTAATTAAGTGGCTGTTAAGGGTTGCTCGTATTTATCCTACACCTTACCGAGTCACATCCATGCGTATGATTAACTGCGGTATCTACACACAAAACACGTAAAGCAAATTATTTGATGGTCTATGTCTTATATACAGCAGACAAAAAACTGTATTTTTTAAGTAATTGTTTCCCAATAAATGCTATGTTTTAAAAGTACTTACTTGAATCCTGGAGCCTCAAATTTGCTGCAAGAAACGTATATGGTGTCACCAGCCACGGGGTGTATTTGAAGCCCGGCATTATTATGAAGACCTGGATACCTGCTGCTGATATAGGTGGGATTGGTGATTCATACCACTATATCATTCTGTATTAGAAGCGATATGATGTGACAAACAGAAGGAGACTTAATTCTGCATCATTAATATCCATAATACTAATACTTACAATGTAAACCGTTTCCTTTTCCAAATCCTCACTCGTAACTGCCTTCTTATACATTCGAACAAAATCATTTAATGTGTCACATCTTTCAATTGACGAATATTCATTTTCTGGAGCTGGGCAGTGATGGAAGAGCTTGTTGAGAATTTCCTCAAATAACAACCGAGGTGAAAAACACTCCACGCAGTTTACAAACGCATGAGGAAGCTACAGAACAAGAATTAAAAGTACACTCTGTTCAGCTGGCTCAAAATGTCTACTAAATCACTTTTTAATTCCTGACAGTCCGCACACTAGTTTAGAGAATAATCCTGTGTATATAGCAGAACATAAATGCTAGCATGGACTTTACTTTGGTTATACAATGTATAAACGACATAAATAGGCAGGGTTTTTTCCCAGTGGAATCTGACAAAGCCTTTGTTCAAAAAGTGTGCATTGGACAGGAGAGTGTGGCGATAAAGAACTCAGTAGTATTGTCCTCTTGCATAGATGGTCTTACCTCCAGGGTGTTCAAAACAGTCTGCAAGACATATGTTTTCCCAGTGCCGGTGTGACCATAAATAAATATGGAAGGAAAACTCAGGTGCTTGCGCTAACAGAAAGAAAATAAATAATATTTTATATATAGAATAGCTCACTTAAATTACAGATTAAACAAAATATAATTCTGTTAATACATTAATTTATAATGTTGGTTTGTTACTTAGTCTCCTGCACCCCATTTCCTTTTAATGAAGAGTAGCTTACCTGTGAGAGGGTCTCCTTGTCACAGTAAAGTGACTTTTTTTAGGGGTTTGTTCCTTTAAAGGGACTCTATAGTCACCAGAACAACTAAAGCTTAATGTAGTTCTGGATTTCTTATAGGAATGCATTGGATTGGCTGAGATCGTCAAGTGTGATGATCTCAAGCAAGGGGGTGGGACATTGGCAAGGCCAGCCACGACCGGACCCGGATGACACTAAAAAAAGGTGAGTAAAATCACCTTTTCTACTGTGGGTAAGAACTATAGTGTCAGGAAAAATAGTATTTCTTTAAGTATGTCTATAGGTGCCAAAAATCAGGGATCATACTTTTCACTCACCATTAGCCGTTGGAAAATGAAAATTTCATCCTGGCAAGTAAATAGTCATCCTTAGCAAGTATGTCATGGACTCTCTGGGCATGCGGGGTAGAGTAAATATTAACATCTGGCTAGAATTGTAGCTACATCTGATGACTACCAGCTGTACTTCTGAATGTGATGGGAGTTAGACTGTTTAACAAGTTTCACACAAAATAGAAATCACGACGGTAAGACATCTGTGTAACAATTATCCTCCCGCATAGCCCAGAGTGATGAGAATGTGAATCCTGTGCAGTCCAAACAATTTCATGACATGGGATTATTAAAATTGTTTCGTATTATGTCAGTCCTGGAAAGTCATTTGTCAAGGAATGGTAAGAACGATTGAAAAACATCAATATATGTGGTCTTTACTTTCATCCTGCACATACATTAAAAGAACACCCCAAACACTATAATCACTACAGAGCCTTGCCACTCCCAATCATTTTAGAATATGAATATAGACTATTTTACCTGGGGTACGCCAGACACCACTCCCAGCCTCAACTACAGCTGACAGAGAGCAGGAAACATGCTTAAGAGCTTCCGTTAGCTCTCCAGTCCTGCATTGTAAATATAGCTCATTGACTGAAAGCTTCCAATCAGTTTAAAATAATGGAGGTGGGGACTAGCGCCAAGCTGACCACTGCAGGCCATAAGCCAAAACATTCTAGAACGGTTTGTGGAGTTTGTTATGTTACTTTAAAATATATGGATAAGCAGGGAAGATGTCATTCCAGTAGTGGCTGAGACTGCCGTGTCCCTTACAACCATCTCATAAACTGAGCTAGGTTTATGTAGGCTTTTAGCAAATAGCAAGAAAGAAAGAAAAAAAAAAAAAACATAAAAACTTGCTTTAGCAACTTTTAGTGAAACCAACAATACAGTGTTTGGAAGGATGCGTGTGAGTGCACGTACAGAGAATGTTTCGAAATAACACCTTACCTCTCCAAATATTGCTAGTAACATGGACACTTGGGATTCCCGGCACAGAGTTACTTTTCCCAGTTCCTGTAGCTTTTCCTCTGGATACGTAGCGCCCTCCATTATGCAAGTTACCATTAAAGTATATATAATCTGCTGTTAAAAGCAAATATGGTTTAACTTTCCAGATACATCGGGGGAGATGTATCAAAGTGTTGCTGATCATTTTACGTCTAATTTTCAAAGCAATTTATAAAATCTGTCAAGATTTTTTTTTTTTTTAATCTGTTGCTGCTTTTACACCCTAACTGGCATTTATATACTATATGCCATCTTGTCTGCGATGCCACAGACTTATCAATCGTATTTCCCTTATCTTTTTTTCCTGCCACTCTAAATTTACAAGCATTCTAAAATGGAAAGGTCTGCAAAATATGAAGAAAACAGTCACTTTTTAGATCACATTTAGGACACTTTAATAAACGCGATAAAATATTTTGCCATTCCGTTCACTAGATTAACGAGTTCAGTGAGTAAACCTAAGGAAATGGTAGCTGTTATGGGCAGTCAGATCAAAGAATACATAGGCTACCAGTGACTAAGTGCAACTGCGAGAACAACCTACTACCGGGCCGGCCATAGGATTAGCATGGACTACTAGTACCTGTCCGGAGGGAACAGGGACTACATCTGTTATGGCAAGAGGGAGTAGCCTAGGATACAGCTAGGGGGAGCAAATGCTACTGCAATCAATGGGAACTACTGCAGGTCATGGGAAAAAGAATGTGTTGTAGTGGCAACCAAGGGGTGCACAAAAGGTAGTTCCAAAGATGTTGTAGAACTACAACTCCAATGATGCTTTTAAAACATCTGGGGATCTACCTTTTGTGCACCACTGCTCTAAATTGTGCACTTAAAAAAAATGGTAAACATATTGAACTCTTTACTTTTTTCAACAATTTCGACACATGAAAACAAAATGAAACACAATATTGCAGTATATGTTAATCAAACACAACAGGTAATGAGCTGACTACAGGTAGACATTCACTCTGCATTCAGCCTTTTGCTAATTTTGGCTTTCACTAAGCTAAGGAGAGAGTAATGGAGGTAGAAAAACTGTAGACGCTCCAGACAAAAAAAAAAAAGCCTTACTCCTGCAGTTTCTTCCAAATTGCCAGGTAAACGCTACAGCAATGGTATAACCTGACAATGTTATGAACACGTTATTTTGGAAACTATAACTTCCCTGCAACATCTATAGAAAGAAAAAGGCCTTTTATTTATATATATATATTTTTTTAAAGTGAACTATCCCTTTGTTAAAGTATAAACTACCTGGGTTATTCACAATATAATTTTTAGGAATTTAAAGTTAATTTCAAAATTAGGGCCAAAGTTGTTGTACTGGAAGCATATTTCACTTGGATAATTTTCCCAGTTTAGCTATTTTGGGCTTAAATTTGAAATTCACTTTGAATTCATTTTAATTTCCTCAGAATTCTCGCTTAGGTACCCTGCCTGTGAACTTTGGGTGGGCTGGGGTCCCACCAGCTGTTATTAGGAGTTCTAAAACAAAGATCAAAGAAAAGACTGACTGAGGGTCATGAAACAGTCCTAACTCTCAGTGCCAGCATCGGTCATCACTAGCCCAGTCTTACTCGGGATAGGGGTACCTGCAGTTAATATCCCAGATGGGACACAATTATTACATGTATTGGCACAGTCCCTCACAGGTACCATTTAAATTAAAGGATGGGCCATTTCTGTGGAAGGGACTCAAGTGCCCCCTCTTGCCCTATATTACAAACGTCAATAACTCTGCAACAATCCTTCAATAGCGGATTGCAACTCCCATCATTCCTAGCCAGTAAATACACTTGTTATACAAGTTAGGAGTAAAGATGACAGCTTGGCTGAGGTTTACCCAACATACAACGCTTCACAGATTTCCATGTGACCGACAGATTGCACGCACTGGGACTCACTCACACCATCAGCAGGACTTAGCAGGGCACCATAGGCTGCCAGCGTGGGAACAGACAGGCGGCAGCCATGTCAGTCTGCAAACTCCCGCCTGCCATGAGCACCTCCCTCTCAGTGACTGTGACCCTCCTCCCCGGCCCATGCCTGCAGTGTGCACTGACTGAGTACATTACTGCACTAACACTAAGGGATGTGTGGCAGTGTGCACTGACTGAGTACTGTGACAGTGTGTACGGTGCTTCATTGACACATTGGGCACAGTCTATACGGCTTTGGAACTCACTTGTTCTTTAGAACCGTTACTGACCGTTCTATAGATTAGTGAACATTCCATCTGGTAGTGAAATTTCTATTCAGTAGTACAGCCATATATACAATAATAAAGTATGGTTATCACAATTAGCATAAAGGTGAAAAGCATTTATATCATATTTCGTAACAATATTTCTCAATGTCAAACTTTGTCAATACCTGTTTAACCTGTAAGGCGATTGCTGTATAAAAAATATGCAACGTATTTTGTTTTATCCGATTGCTTTGTATTTTTCATTCTCTGTATAGAGATTCAACTCTAATAAATACGTGATATCAATCTGCGTCTATATGGATGTATCCATTTCGAATTTATTTACTTAGGACAAACTCGTGAAGTTGGAAATTTCTGATTTGTTAAGATTTTCTTTTAAAAATGTACAAGAAAACGGCAAATTTTTTGGCGAGATCCAATGTATGTGTTTGCAATACAGGTACATTCCTCACTTCAACCAATTACAATTAGCCTTTTAAAGTGTAAAATCTGTGGGGTTTATTCACTAAGCTGAGAATTGTAGTAAATTGGAAGCCAAAATGCAAAATTTAGGCTAAAACAGGGGAGTTGTGACTATAACTGAGTTAAGGATTACTTCCAAATTGGCTAATTATAATCAACAGTAAACTGAATAAAGCTGGAGCAAGGAATTTTCCACGGTTTGCTTTAATTTTGCCTTCTAGTAAAACTCTATTTGACCTATTACAAACACACCTGTTCGTTTTATCAGGGTGTGGTAATGTTGAAGCAGTTGATGGGGACCTTTAAATAGCCTTTATTCAGATTCAGACCTTGCTCCTGCAAAGTGTTTACACTGGAGCCTGTTAGTTATGTGGTGGTTTTGCTGGCCTGATTCTTTTTAAAGTTATAATTCAGGGCACTAAGTCCAAATCCTAACCAGCTGCCTCAAGGCATTAAACCAGATTAAGTTGGGTGGATCGGTTAAACTATTAAACCTCTGTCTTTCAGGTTAACTTTTCTAAATCTTGTTTTATGTGAATTGTTATGATGGATCCAGCTGTTGTGATGGAAACCACTTGCCAAGGAGAAATTCTAACTGCTCTTGATCTTCGTCTTAATGCACTGGTTCAGAAGATGGATGCCATGACTCCAATGCTCCAGGCACTTGAGGCCAAAGTTCTAGAATCTACCTCCTCTCCAGCTGATCTTCCTTCCTCTCCCAAGGCCGGAATCCCTCTGATGTACCCAGAGATTCCATTACCTGCATGTTATGATGGGAATCCAAATGAATTACGTGGCTTTTTGACCCAATGTGATGTTTATTTCCAAATCCATCTGCATGCCTTTTCTAGCCATCAGTCCCGTGTAGGCTTCATTATCTTACTCCTTAAGGGAAAGGCCTTGGATTGGGCATCTTCAGTAATGGATAAGAAGTCGCCAATCCTGCAAAGCTCTGACTCCTTTATCAACGCTCTCAAAACTGTTTTTGATTTACATGGACGTGAAGCTTTAGCCGGAAAAGCTCTCCTTAAAATCCAGCAAGGCCAGAAAACTATCTACCAGTACGCAATGGCCTTTAGGAGACTTGCTTGGGACACTCTCTGGAATGAGTCTGCTCTGATATATGCCTTCTATAATGGACTTAGTGAGGAGATGAAGGATGCATTGATCGCTAGAGACATGCCAGAGAGTTTGAATGAACTTATCAAAATCTGCAGTTTAATTGACCTACGTTTTCAAGAGAAGAGGCAAAGGCAAACTCGTAAGCAGCAAAAGCGAGATGACTAACTTCCACGTTCAAGAAAAGTGCTGTTTCCCCGGAACCCCAAGTCCGAAATTGGGATTTAATTGATCTTTCCGCTATTGCTTCATGGAATTCAAGTGGCTTGAAAGGCAAAAACATTTGTAGTGTTTATTGTGGACAATATCTTCATCAATCAAGAATCTGTCTAATTCTTTTGGTGTAACCTCAATGCATCAAATGAAAGAAGGAACCATGTAGCGCAACTTTCTGGATACTAATGGACTGTTAAAATAAACTGAATCTCCTGGGGATGACCATCCCAGCCAATGTCTCTAAAAAAAAAAAAAAAAAAATAGATCTGGTTAATCTTCTGTAATGTTTCAAAATGAATTTTTTTAAACAAACTGCTTAACAGAAATTATATTTTTCTTCTGACTAGCTAATGCTCCTATAGCAGCAAGGATTTTAATCTGTTTAAGTGTTCTCTAAATTTCATATTGTAAAAATTGAGATTGAATGGCGCACCATGCATGTTAACCCCTGGCTGTTAATACATGCCCATCTTGTTCTGTGCATTAGATGGCAGTGTTGCATAGTATGTGATTTCCACTCCAGCCCCTTATTTCTGTTCCCAAGCCCCCTTTAGGGTGTTTATTCACGTGTCAGTATTTTTGTTTGCTGTGCACAAATTGCTTTGTATTCCTATGTCAAACCTGTTTTATACACCTAGAAAATGGAGGGTAATAATTAGGTAAATGGATATTTCCATATGTATCCTCCATAACTTATAATACTTTATAGTATGACAGTGTAACCCTAGTGGATCTTCTGATTCTGCTCAATCCATACCAAACCACTAATAGGTCATTATAAATTAAACTAAAAATGCATTGTTGTATTCTATTATGGCAATACTCCAATTTCCATCTGTTAAAGGACCACTCTAGGCACCCAGATCACTTCAGCTTAATGAAGTGGTCTGGGTGCCAGGTCCTTCTAGGGTTAACCCATTTTTTTATAAACATAGCAGTTTCAGAGAAACTGCTATGTTTATGAATGAGTTAAGCCTTCCCCCTAATCCTCTAGTGGCTGTCTCATTGACAGCCACTAGAGGCGCTTGCGTGCTTCTCACTGTGATTTTCACAGTGAGAGCACGCAAGCGTCCATAGGAAAGCATTGTAAATGCTTTCCTATGCAACGGGCTGAATGCGCGCGCAGCTCTTGCCGCGCGTGCGCATTCAGCCCAGGAGGAGGATCGGAGGAGGAGAGCTCCCCGCACAGCGCTGGAAAAAGGTAAGTTTTTAACCCTTTCCCCCTTCCAGAGCCGGGCGGGAGGGGGTCCCTGAGGGTGGGGGCACCCTCAAGGCACTATAGTGCCAGGAAAACAAGTATGTTTTCCTGGCACTATAGTGGTCCTTTAACTTTGTTTGGCATAGTGCTTGGTTTCCAGGATAGTGTAGTTGAAGGGATAATGATTGGTAGGACAAGTTAAGGGGAAAATAGATTCAGATATAAAATCAGAAAGGAAATCCAAAATAAAAAGTTGGGTTAGGCAGAGATCAGTCCTGATGGCAAAGGTTTGTGGTCAAAGGCAAGCCGTTGGTCCCAGGAATGCAGAAACACATCACAAAGGTTAAATAAGGTGTGTCATTTTTATGGGTATTTGCAAATTTTGCAAAGACCCCCAAGGGTTTCAACCCCACTTAGAGCCCAGTAGGTTGAAGGTATGTATACTTGAAGCTGGCCCTCGTAGCCGCTGCCATCTTCTTTCTGATGACTATCTTCAACTCTTAGCACTTCATCTGCTTCTGCAAGAGTACAACACTGAGATCTATGGAAGACCCCCACTAAACACCAGAAGCCTCCATTGATCATGTCTTATGATGAGCGAGACTATGCCTGAATCCCACAGCTGTCATTTGCGATGGCTGCTAGGATTGAACAATAGGTAACAATGGAGCTTTGCCTTTTCTCAACTTCAGGTTTTACTAGAAGGCAAGGTAGTCCCTACTTTGTATTTTGGCATTTTCAGATTGTGAATTTCACATTCAGCATGAGAATTTGTATAAAGACTGCATCTTTATGAAATACTCAGAAGTGACATAACTGCTTCAAGGCATGTAACAGAAGAAACGCACAATGTAAAGCTCAGAGGTTTTATATATGGGAATTGGTGGATGCCCCACACACAGGGGCAGCATTGATTACTGTAATTACTTGAATAAATTAATGTGGTAAAGGGTGTCTAGAGTCTGTGGGCAGTGGGTCCAGCATCACTACTAAACTGTTTATTCACCTTTATGTCAATGAAGGCTGGGCTTCAGGTTGCTGATGACTGGGAATCTCTACTAGATGGTAAACAATTTAGTCGTGATATGGGACCTGGTGCTCATGGACTGAAAGCACAATAAGCACTTAACTCTGTTGAAGTTGTTATAGTACCTAGAGTATTCCTTTAATTCTGAAATGGGTCATGCCCCAAACCTGGGCACATAACCATGTCACCATCAGACTGACCATGGTAGACTTCTCCAGTCCTGGGTCTCAATTGAGCCCCAAAGTGGTATGAGCCTTGCTTCAATGGGGGAATGCTGATTGTGCACAGGTGATGCGGTCGACACTACCAAGTTTGACTAGTGGAATGGGCTAGAGTAGAAGTGACCTGCTCTCCTCTTCCATCATGCGGTAATCAAGTGAGTTTCTTCTGTTCAACACGGGTAAGGACTGTGATTCAAAGAAAAACATGTCCAACTGAAAAAAAAAAAAAATGAACATATCTTCCAATATTCTATCTTCATTAATAGACCAAACAGACACACCATAGGGGTATTCTGATTGTGTTCTCTTTGTTCTGACTGCTATTCTAGATCTTTATATTTTATTCCTTTTAACCTGGACTAGTGGAATGATATCTTATACTTTCAATGGTTGATTTTTAACTCTGAACTAGGGCAACAGAACAAAACGCTATTACTGAAAAATACATCATTGACCAACATTTTGCTTTGGCGATGTGCTGGCCCAATAATTCTATCACAACCAATTAATGGTACTCTCACCTGATTATAGGAGAAGAGGTTTGTACATGTCTACATAGGGAGGCTGTCTGTGTAAGATAATTAAGGAATGTTTACTAATTAAGAAGCAGCTTAATATATTTTTGTAAAAAACAACTACCCTTATAGAAATATACAAGTTTAAATGGTTCACAATAGCTCAGCCTAGGGCTTAAAATGTTCTAGTTTACAGAACAAAGATGATCTAAAAGCTACTCGCTTCAGCAAACCTCCACCTGCAATGTAAATTGTGTTAACAGTAAAGGCAGGTGACTTGTGTAGCACCTGACAATTTTAGCAAACAAGTGCACTCTAGGAGTTTTAACACACCTCACACAGCTGTATGGGAATTCCATACATGTAGGAAAGGTTGCATGCTGCCTCAGTTAGGTGAAGACAAGTGGCTGACCAGCAGAATTCCACAGTCCCTGTAATATTGTTTAATGATCATGCAGCCCCCAAGATCTCACAGTCAGAGGAAAGGGGGACGGGAATTAATTATAAATATAAATCCACCATCACTGCACAGTAGGACAGAGAATAAGAACGAAGGACAGGTGTGCAATGGGTAAGAAGCGTTTTTTCTTTTGAAAGCACACGGCTGCCCAGTTCTGATTGAAACTCACTCTTGCTGGCCACCGATATCAAGAGTGAGTTTCAATCAGAACTGGGCAGCAGTGTAATGCCTTGACACTGTTGTGATATTCAGACTTATATTAATATAACATTTTGAGACTGGCATACATGGAGACATACTTAGACTAAACCGTGTGCTATAGGCTTATGTTATTCTCTGTTATGTAGTTAAATAATATGCTATACCATAAAACTGTAAAGCTACATTTTATTTGCCTTTACTGATGTATGTAAAAATTACGCAAATGAACCTTGAATGAAAAAATAAATAGGAATGGCTTTTGTTTGTGTTTTTTTCCCCCTGTTCAGTCTATGGGACAGCCGAATGGATTGTGCCTATGGTGTTCGTTTATACGAACAAACTACCGAACCGCCGGACCACACACAAGTGGAGTGTGTCCCTCATTTACATCCCAGGAGCTGCGGTTAACCGCAGCTAATTGACGAACAGCTTGGTGGTCGCCGTTCGTAAAGTCGGACACGCGGCGGCCATCTTGTTTAGTAGAACACATTCAGCGGTGTTTGGTCGTCGAGTTCATGGAACTCAAATCGGACACACAACGGCACGAACACCGCTTAACTTTACCTTCTCTGAACTTCAACGCTTCGACGGGAGTAGAACGGTGTTCGACAATTCGAACGCCACTTTAACATTGACATTTGCATGAACGGTTGCCGTTCGTCTATTTGAACTGACTTTAACATGGGAAATAGACCGGCCGCACAGCCAAATTCTGTGGAACTGTTTTGGGAAGGAAAGCCATGCTGCGGTCGGTCAAAAGAGACCTCCATAGACACTTGAACCCCATGGTGATTTGACTATGTTCGTGGGATCTGAGCGCTGTTCAGATATATTGGGCGCACAGATCCAAGCTATCTGGGGACATGTCACATGTGGGGGTTCAGTTCTGTGAAACATAAGTTATGTATTTTAATGTGTTTTTGTTAGTTTTATTTTAGGAATATTTTCTGTACCTGGAGATAATTGAGTTTACTACAGCCACTTAAGCCAATTAACTCCAGGATAGAGGGGAGGGATTCTACTGTGTATGTGGCAGTCTTACTGTGTTAATTATTGTTCCCATTGGTTTGTGTCCCTTTTGTCCCAGTTTACCACCAGGTCCAGAGGGTGTGTCTCTGGCCTGAAAATGTGTATAAAAGAAATGCCTTTGTGTTCATTAAACAGATCATCTTGTACCTTCATGAAGTTTTGGCTCATGTTTGGGGGATTGGAGAACTACACTCTGGGGATTGCTATAATCACTATACTCCCCAGGGTATGATCACTAAGCTCTGGTAAGAGCTTGTTCCTGTTCCTGCTCTCTGGATTTAGGAGAGGTTGACCTACTGGA